GCCAAGAAAGCAAGGAGATATGATATGATTTGATGGCACAAGCCGTCACGTCGTCGCGTCGCATTGCTCTGATTGCGTCCCTGGGGCGACGTGGCGCGCACGTGATGTGATACATCTCCACTTGTCTTGATCTTAACAAAACTTGACAGATCCAGCGAGTTTCACTTGCTGAGATAGTTTTCTATTTGGAATAGTTTCTTTGATGCCTTGCGCTGCTGCAATACCTACACATTTGTCTTATTTTACAAAGCGTTAGACACAGTCCTAGATAGCTGTGAAGAGGAAAAAGGCGTAACCCCCCATGAGCTTTAAGACACATTACTTACATAAATGAACTTCACCATTCTAACCTTGCTATTTTTTTACCATTTACTGCGCATCAGCTTGCAATTAACATTGCATAACCACAAAATTGCTATAGATTTTGCACGAAAATGCCTTTGTTTCAATCGTGCAAATCTGGTAGTACCATCGTTCCACTGTTTCGGACATAAAGGCATTCAAGTTTGGATAAGAAACGCCACCCTATTTTTATGACTATAGAGGTGTATTTAATATAATTAGAAATGGCGTTTCGGATTCATATTTAATAATGATAAACATTATGATAAGGTAAAGTGTGTGCAATGAGAACACAAACGTTACGATTAGTACCTGTAGTACATACCTACAGATAGCGGCATTATTTTCCTTCGGCTTCTTTAGTTTTATAAGGACAATTATTTTGACTATAGACAGACTTGGGCATGACGGGCCTGTTGGTCTAGTGGTTAGTAACCCTGACTGCTAAGCCGGAGGTCGTGGGTTCGATGCCCACCCTTTTTTTTTTTCCCGTGCGGAAATCCCCTCGGATACCTGTCGGTGGCATGTCGGACTCGAACCGACTAAAACCGCACGCCGTCTCGGGTACTAATAGCCGGGGAACCAGGTATACCCTAGAAAGGAAGTCCCTGGTACCCCGACATACCTCGGGTCATCTACAGACGAGTAGACGACCCCCCCCGTCGATTCCCACCCGGGACAAACATTGTGATGAGCACGGTCATTTATTCTGTGTCTAGGTGTAATTTATCTATAATATGTATGTATTTAAAAATATATAAGTATGTTTATCAGCAGTCTGGTTACCGTAGTACATGCTCTGCCTAGTTTGGAATCAGACGGCCGTGTGTGAGGTACATCTTTAATTCTTTTTGTTGTCTCGTTGCACGGGCGGTGGGGAGAAAGACGCGCGAGCCGTCTGCTTTTCACCGAGTGAGAGGTTACCAGAACGCAAACCCTCCCCTCCCCGTGATTATGAGAGGAGGAACTAGAGGCCGACAACGCAAGTGTGACTCTTAAGTTGCAGGTCACCATCAGGTGACCCGTCTGCTGGTTTAGTAAAAAAAAGACGTGTGGCACTCGGGGACTGCCGCGGTAAAGCTATTGCATAGCATTTTTTATCAACTTAGTATTAATAAATTTAGTGTTAAATAATTATCTCAGGAAAACCCTGTAGAATTTTGCCCGGCTCCGGAATCGAACCCACCAAGGCAGTGTTGTCAAATTCCACGCGAACAAAGTCGCGGGTACCAGCTAAAAAATCTGTAGGGGCCAGATTGTTCGTCTCCTTTTCCCGGTTCAGACAAACCCAAACATGGGAGTCCAAGTGCTCCAGGTACCGAGAAAATCAAAGGGGGGAGAAATAAAAAAGTTGAGGGGAGAGAAGGGGAGGTATTTTGAAGGGACCTCAATGCAATTATAAATTTTTTGGTAGGGGGGGTATTGTATGTGGATGTTATTACATTAATAAAAATAAACTGGTCTCCCCCCTTTGTCATGTCAAAGGAACACCCTACATTAAAAAAAGTTCTGCTATTCATCGATAGATGGCAAAACTAACAAGTATCACCGCTGTGCTGGTCGGAGTGGGAGGTGTTAGGTCATTTTCGTTACGGAATTTCTGGATTCGGTCTCCACGCTCAAGGCCCGCGATAGACAGCGATAGCAGATAGAAGCTATGCAATAGCTTAAAAAAAAGAGTGGCACTCCGGGAGTGGCGACAGAAGTAATAATTTATATACATATATACAGAGGTGTCGGTAACGGTAACGGTAACAGTTCAATTGTTTTTTCCTATTGACGACCGGATGGCGTAGTGGTTTGTGTAACGGACTGCTATTCAAAGGTCGCGGGTTCGATTCCCGCTCAAGTCAAACATTTGTGTGCATGAACATTTGATGTTTGATTTGGTCTGGGTGTTTCTATGTATAATATGTATGTATTTACAAAAAAAAAAGTAAATATGTATTTATATCAGTTGTCTAGTACCCATAGTACAAGCTCCGCTTAGTTTGGGACTAGATGGCGTTGTGTGTATGTGGTAGAATATTATTATTATTTCAAAAAATATATTCTTTTTTTGTTGTTCAAAAATGCCCAACGCGCCTAATGAAGTTTTCACTTCAAAAATAATTTCTCTGATTAACAGAATTGATCACCTGGTCATGTTCTATTTTTCATGTACCTGCAGTTTCTTACTAGTTCTCTACATGTAATAAATTCGGAGTCAAAATCCCAGGATGAGCTAGCGTCCCGTGGGACGCTCTGATTGCCTTCCGCTGTCGAGACCGCAGCTGAAGGCACCACCTTAATTAACTACGGTATTTTCATGAGGTAATGAGTACCTAAATTAAAATAAAGAAACGTACAGTGCGATACTTTTTTTACGAGAGACGAGCAGTTTTATTATTTTTACTTTGATCTATCCCGTCGCTCGTAATAATTTTCCTTGTATGGTTAGGTAATACTGTATTATTAGAGATTAGTTACTGCCTGAGGTATTCCTATTACCTACTTTCTTTTGAGCCTTTGCACACCCTAACTCAAATATCGTATGTAATGTTTGTTGCTGGCAAAAAGTAGGCTTAATAGGAATCTACCTACATCTTTGGAAATACTTTATTTTATTTTATTCAATAACTTTATGCACAAAATGTACAATGGCGGACTAAAGGCCATAGGCATTCTCTACCGGTCTACCGTAGGATGGTGTGGAAATGAATTAAAAGGTGCACTACACTTTGGTTGAAAATTTTAAAGTGAGCAAAATGAACTAATCCGTGTGCTGACGGATTAAGAATACGGAGTGTCACAATCCCTATTCATCCCGTGTGGGTGTCGTAAGAGCCGACTAAGGGAACAAACTTCGCAGGACAGTTCTGCTAAGAGAAGGAAAACTTGAAGAAACCCCTATACCAACCCGTCTGGCGAACGTGGTATGATAGACCAAAACCTCCTTTCTAAGGAGAGGTCTATGTCCAGCAGTGGACTATTAGAGGCTGTTGATGATGATGAGAAAATAACTAAATATTAGGTAATACTGTATCGCAGAGAGAGAGAACATTATTGGGAGTATATTTCTGTTATTGTTGTCGTAACCTTATAAACTGATGTCCGAACTTGTAGCGCCCTCTAGTGACAGGTAGTAGTAAATAGATAGGCGTTCAGTCAAGTGCGATCCTTACGTCAAGCTGAATGGTTAAATTATTTGTGTTCATTTTCATTAAACGAGTACGTTCCAATCCCTCACCCAGTATATATTTTGACGTTTCTGAACAATGGGTTGTAGCAAGTGCCAGGACCAGAAGCAATAAACATTTTTTTACAATCATAAAATCGCTGCACGTTGAATAATGATTGTTTATATATTAGAATAAACTACCAATCTTGATAGAAATTGTAAAGCTATTACACAAATAATAAACAAAAGGTTCGCAGCTACCCCCTTTTAATTGGATCTTGTAACTCGACACGTTTGGTACCTGGAGCAAGGGAAGGGTCGTATGGGGGGCCAATAAAACAACACAATCAAACTCTTACATTTAACCAATATAATTATTATCTATTATGTACAGAATGTGTCTTACAACTAATATTCACCGTCAACAACACTTTGTACAGTCGTACAATACAATCTTTCCACCAACACTGCTGTGCTCACTACCTATGGACCGAGGCGCTCGTTTACTGGGACACTGAGGTGATCCTCTATGTTTGATTAATACCTAATTACAACGGAACATTATGGAGTACGTTTAAGGCCACCGTAGATTGAATATAAGACACTCGACACGTCTCAATACCTCTATAGAGCACCGGCAGACCCGGGTCTAGTCAGCTATCCCTGCAGAAGGTTTCAAGGCTTCGTAAATAAGGAAAGAAGACCCTCATTTTCATAAATGTTTAAATAAAATTATGAAAAAAACAGTTTTGGTTGGTAATCTTTATATATTCAATTATTCTGTGTATGTGACTAAACTCATCCTAAACAGCTGGACCCATTTTGATGATTTTTTTATGTGTGCTTAAGTGGATTCGAGAATAGTTTAGATTCACAATTCTAAACCACCACAAAATGTTTTTAGTTTAAAAGACGTGTGCAGGTCGGATGCAAGTAACTTTTAAAATTACATTTTTACCCCCTTTTATGAGTATTGTGAGTATCAAACGACTGTGTTTGACAGATGTAATTAAATTAAATCGATAAAATACTGTTAGTTGTCGTTGCAGCCATAGAGAATCACTCTCTAGTTTAGGGGAACTTACAAAAAGCGTATTTTCGGAATCATTGAAACAATATTGTGCTTTTTTTCGGTCCTCTTCCTCGCTGAAATCCTTCGCGTGTGAACGTGGCCGTCAACGACCAAGCTGAGGTTTAATCGAGTGCTGCGCCACCGCCGCGGTGTCGCTACTCACTACACGTCGAAGCGTCATCACTCAAAATATACGTTGATAGCGAACGTATCGTCCCCTTCGCTAGCAATTCAATCGTACAAACGGTGGTTTTAATTGGACGATATAAATATTAATATGTACATTTTATAAATTAGGACAGTTTCGTACGAGGTCGGCCCAGAAGTGCGAACGAACCTCGAAATCGAATGTCATACGGTCTCGGGATAAAAATAGCGTTAATCTCATCGTTTAAGTTCACAGGTCGGAGGGAGGGCGAGGGCGGGTCACTCGCTGTACTGGCAGGCCAGCACGTAGAAGAGCGTGGCGGCGCCGCGCGGCAGGCGGCTCACGTACTTGGTGAAGGGCGCGGCGCCAGGGTCGCAGTAGACCAGGCTCAGCGCGTTGTGCGCGGGCGGCAGCTGCAGCAGCGCGCTGGCGGCGCCGGGCTCGTCGGGCGCCACGTACGTGAGCGCGCCCCCCGCGCAGCGCGCGCCGCCCAGGTGCAGGTGCACGTCCAGCCGCGCCGAGGAGCGCTGCTCGCGCGGCGCCAGCAGCGAGTAGGCGCCCGGCGCCCAGCGCTGCAGCTCCAGCCCCGCGTGCGTGGCCAGCGCCAGGTCCGAGCACTCGGCCAGCGCGCGCAGCAGGGCGGCGCTGCCGAACAGGCGCAGCAGCGCTCGCAGCGGGTGGTGCGCCGCCAGCTCCTCGGCCCACGCCGCGGGCACGCGCTCGTACCAGCGCCGGTTGGGCGGGCCCACGCGCTCCCACGGCAGCTCTGCGCCGACGGACGGGTCAGACACGTGGCACGGGTCGCTCGAGGCGCGAACGAGACTAGACACCTACCTGGGTCGTCGAGCGCGGCCATCACCTCGGCGAGCTTGTCCTGCGACAGCAGGTCCCGCAGGCACACCTCGCTCTCGCGCTCCATCTGCGTCTGAATCTGCATGCGGCTGCGCGGCGACATGTACGTGGGCTCCAGCCACTGCGACAGCACCACCTGACGACGAACGAAACGCTCGCTGCCGTATATCGACTTTTCAAAGTGTACCGAACTCGAGTCGATTTAAATAACTCGTTCGACATAGCGACGAATTCGAAACTTAAACTCACGATATCGTTGTGAGGCTTGAGCTGCTGAGGCGGGTCCGGCGCGTCGGGCGGTTCCCTCTCGTCCTCGCCCTCCGGCGCCGGCCCGTGGAACCAGCCGTTGATCGTCAACCGCGGTAGTTCCAAGGACAACACTTCCTCCACCTGTGTACGTAAACCAAAGTATATTTATTCGGTCGCTTAGTCAGTTACTCCAACGAAATTTTTCCCACGACACAAAAATTCTCGCTTTATTTTCAGGAAAGTCTTTGTCGCTATGTGTAGTGCTCTAGACCTTAAAGAGGCTAACGTGAAGCTTACTAGACATAACAGGTACATCCATAATCATCATCAACAGCCTATAACAGTCCACTGCTGGACATAAGCCTCTCCTTAGAAAGGAGGTACATCTGCTCTTCAATAGATTCTGAGCCACTTTTTGTTTTGATCACCTACTATAATATCGGCGCGGCGTAGTGATCCAATGAACGACAAATATATACCTGATGAAAAGATTCATGGCCGACTTTGAAAAACGCAAACATGTTGTTCCTAGGGTAGACGTCTCGCACCACATGCGTTGGGTGGCCGTGCTCGTCGCAGGCCAGCTGCTGCAGCGCGCCGCCCATGTGCCGGGCCCAGCCGCCCCAATCCTCCACACACTGCAACAAAATACACCATTAACATTTGCGCCAGGGTATCATAGGTCCCACTACTGTACTGACAAAATCAGCACTTGACGTCTTCAATAAATCAAAATATACAACTAATAAAAAGTAGGTATTTCATCCCTTGTGAAATGTACCCTTGTATCTCTGGCAGCATGTAAATAAACACTACTAACAAACCTGGAATTACTCAAACTCAAAATATCTTTATCACATAAAAAAAAATGAAATTTTCTGAGACTCTAAAGCCATAGATAAACACACACACAATAGCAACAATCTGTTTTGCCAAATAATTAGCAGAAGGAAATTAATCCATTATATGCCTGTCCTGATCTACAACTGCCCATTTCCAAAGGATAGAGTCTCATCAGAATCATCATTATTATTAGATCAAAGCTACAAACTCACAAAGCTACACATACCTCAGTGTGATCCCCACCCGCACCATTCTCAATGTTGTTCTTATGCTTAGGAGGGTCCGGTCGCCAGGGCGCCAAGTAGAAGATAAAAGCGACCCGTCTGTCCGACAGCAAATCATCATGGACTAGTAAGTGGTCTCCAGGACCATACAGTGAACATGATGCTGATACTGACTGAAGAGTCAAGCCTGTCACGTGTGATACCTACAACAACAATTCAGGGTATTAGCGATGGCCTGGCATGGCATGCATGGGGCATGGCAGGCATGGATGGGGTGACAGGTGAGGCCATCCGTCACCCTAGCAGAAGCAGGCCGGGGTGGCGGCGAGCGCGTTGCGAAGCGCGCTCGCTTCCAGGGAGCACAGGGAACATGGGGTTCCCACACGGGTCGAGGTCGAGGTCGAGGTCGAGGCACCTGGGACTTCCTTTCTAGGGTATACCTGGTTCCCCGGCTATTAGTACCCGAGACGGCGTGCGGTTTTAGTCGGTTCGAGTCCGCCATGCCACCGAGGGGATTTCCGCACGGAAAAAAAAAAAAAAAGGGTATTAGCCCTGGTGGTTTACATGAGACTGCAACTAATCAAATCATTTCAGCAAGGAAGTCTTACCCAACTCATAACCTCAGTCTTGAGCAACTCATATATTCCTCTAATACTTCTTTGCCATGTCAAGCTGGCCAGGTCAGCGGTCTGGTGAAACTCATACAGGTCCATCTTTTTCCTTGACCAATCTAGTGTGTTCATGTCATCAACTATGTTATTGATCATCTCAGGGTTGGAGAGAAAGTCATGAAGGAGACATAAGCGGAACGGCTCACAAGTTAATGTAACCGCCTCATTGCTAAAGTCTTTTTGCTCCTTCCAATGCAGAGATAGCCTATCTATTAACTGTTGTGACTGCAAAATAAAAGTATTTATTACAGGTCAGAATGAACAGTAAAGATTTATTTGTGGTGTAAACGCAGTCAGAAATGAAGGTCCTGTAGACTATGTAACAGTTCCACATGTTTAACAATGACAATGATATGCAAATATTAATTTTATTCCACATCTAAACTGTAATTAATTTCAGCTGTTTTTAATGTTTAATTTGGTAAGTATATTACAATACAAATTTTATCAGGTGGGATATCAGTAGTGATAAACAGATTTAAATTACAAAAAAAACATTAAAGTACGTTTTCCAAGCAGCATCTAAGTATTTTTTATAAAAAAAGCACAATAGCATGACAGTTGTATTATAAATATGTGTAGTCTATTTGGTTGTACAAACTTTGTACCTTAATTTTAGGATTAAACTGTGGGTCATCCATTCTGTTAGCTCTGGGGTTGAGCTGGGCCTTGACAGCCTTCAAATCTGTCACAAAGTCTCCCAACACAATGGAGTTGTCCTCCCATGATTCTTCAGAGTCTGAGCTATACTCTGATGTAGAGGAAGAAGAAGAATAGTCAGCTGAAAGCAGAGGCCATTGGTAAATAATATCAAGAAATATTCAATGTCTGAGTGGTGGTTAAACTGTCTTCTTTAACTCTGTATTGGAGTAAAAAGATGAATATGATGAATACCACCAATATCTGACGTGACACTGAGCTGGGGAATTGTGTTAAACTAGCTATTACTGACAACTACATGTAGTTGTAAGTGAATTACATTCATCATAGCTGTAGATGTAGAATAGAAGACGTTAAAGAAATTTACCAAACGCCCTGATGTAAACAAGCGTCGCACATTTCAATGATCGTCAAAATTTATGTTTCCCGCGCAAAGCACTCTAAAATTCAAGGCACTAAAACTCACCTCCACGGATCCGCTTGACTTCATCGGCAGAGGCCTGGTATGAGTTAACAGCGCATACATCAGAATCATCGCTATCCGTATCCGAGATCTCGATCACGGTAGATGAGAACCTGCGTTTGGCGGGTGGCCGGGTTTCAGGTGCACTACTGTTGCTATCGCCCGGGCCTTCGTCTGCGAGAGCCGTGCTTGACGACGGCTCCTCGTTATCTCTGCTAGACGAACTCATGGTTTACCACCAACACTACATAATACGCGAAAGAAAAACAAAAGTAAACCAATATGATGCGACGCCTAACCTAAAATTTTGTTGACGTACATATTGATTATTGTTGCCCAGTACAAAAATGAGATTTTAATGTGATATTATTGATTTAACAAAATAATTATATCCCTTTTGTTATAACTCGCTGAGTCTCTAAATATCTGATTAAAAATGTGATTTTTAATCAACTTCAATCAAGCCTTTGCCCATCGAGGTATTTTTTAAACAGTTGATCGCAGTATCGCTTATCGCTCTTTCATTGATACATTTCATACAACTCAGTAATGGCTGTATTCTGTATTCACAATACGCAAATTGACATATGTGACATTTGAAGTTCTATGTGGTTGTATTTATTTCTGTCAATTTCTGTATCAGTGTCTAGAAATCGGTGTTCGTTTTCAGAAATTTCTTTGTTATTTTGCTGCGGTCGTAAATCGTGGAATAAAAGCCTGATATAAATCGTCTCATTGAAACTCGGTACAAGTTTGTTGGTGTCCAGCTGTTCACAATACTCCTTAACCTAATTCATAATATTCCGCAATGACGGAGTTGTTGCAGCAACGGGACTTAAGTGAGCCTCAATGCCAGTTCTTTGTAGTGCGTAAAAAAAGATTATGTCGAATGACTGTGAAGCCAGGGCGGCAGTATTGCGGTGAACACGAACCTCTACCTAAAACAGCTGATGGTCAGGTTGTTCTCGTTTTTAAACTTATTGTACTATCTAGACTGAGATATAATGTTGAGCTTATCTTAATGTTTATATTTTAGGACGACTCTCGTGTACCATGCCCGAACGATCCCAAACAGTGAGTAAAAACATTTAATCCTTAGGTTAAATATAGGATATTAAAAATAATGTTAGATCTGTATATTTCCAGCACCTGCTATGTAAGTAAACTGAAAAAGCACCTGTTGATCTGCAACGCACGCCCAGTGCAGCAGCCGCCTTACATTGTTCACAATATTAACTGTCCCACAGAGACGGATGTGTACGAGAGGAAGCCTCTCAGCCAACTGTCTAAGGAGACAATCTTAGCAGTCATAGACAAAGTAAATGCTTTATATGACAGTAAGTATGCCTGAAGTATGTCTTACTTGAACTTCAAATTATTACAGATATTCAGTTGGAAAAATAATTTTATCTAGTTTTATGTAGAAAACAACTTTGTTATTCAATTTTCAAATTATTATATAATTTGTAAAACTGTAGTTTTTAATTAGTCTTACATTTCATATGTAGAGGCTTGTTATAAGCAACCTTTTTTTCTGTATGTATAGTGTGCTCTTAGTCTTTAAACCTTCTTAAAATAAAATAAATAAATTACTTCAAACTAAAATTGTCCACACCATTTACATAATTATTGATTATTTGTGTAAAATAACAATAAAAGTTGTAAAAGACAACCCAAAACAAGAAATCTTACTAGAACACTATTTCTAACTGAATTCTAATATTAAATAAAAACAAAATGAGGTTTTGATTCCTGAATTTCATGACCTTAGACAACTGAACAAGCTGGCAATGGCCCTTATATATAGAATAGCAGCGTTTTACTACAAACTTAACTTTTTTAAATAGAGCACATAAACGGCCAGATAGTGACAGAGCCAGAGCACCCCATACACAGTGCAGTCCTAGAGGAGTTCTCAGAGGGAGATAGAGCTGAAAGCTCCCTAAGACATCTGAGACAGGTCTCCAGCTTGCTGTGGCTTGTTGAGCGAGAAGGTCTGGTTGGGGATCATACTTGCTATGTGGAATTGGGCGCTGGAAAAGGTAACTACTTTAATTATGCTTAATTTATACAATACTGCCGCAGATGATGACATATTTTGATGTATCTCACTCAGTCACTTTGGAATATACTATCTCTGTCTATTGCTCGTTATGATTATTAAACTTTTTTGCAATTTTATTTGATAACTATTTGTGGTATAACTATGCAAAAGGTTTTGATTTGTTCCTTTTATGACAAGTCTCGTCAATGATGTCGATGAGGAATTTAAATCTACCTTTACAACAGTGAATACCCATTCATATGACAGGTCACGTGTCGTACTACGCTTGCAATGCGTGGTGCGCGGGAGAGGAGGGCAGCTCAGCGCTGCTGGTGGACCGCGCGTCGCTGCGCCACAAGCGCGACAACAAGCTGCGCACGCGCACGGCGCAGCGCCTGCGCGCCGACCTGGCGCACCTGGCGCTGGGACACGTGCCCGCAGCCAGCGCTTGCCGCGCGCTCGTGGGGCTGGCCAAGCACCTGTGCGGGGTCGCTACTGGTAAACAATTTCGCTATTTGCAAGATCGACACCCTTACCCTAAGACATATCAAGTCAGCTACAGGTTCAAAAAGCACAGTATTTGAACTGATATTTGGTAGGAAAAGAAAGTATATTGATAGAAAGAGTTTATTGCTATGTGTTATTAATACTAAATAGATTAATTGATTAATAAATCTATACTAATATTATAAAGCTGAAGAGTTTTTTTGTTTGTTTGAACGCGCTAATCTCAGGAACTACGAAGTTGCGCGGGTCAGCTAGTAATATGATAGAGAGTACGCGTCTACCTGCTTCGGGTGAAAACGTAAAATGATTGTAATGACGCGTACTGAATTATGTGTTACGAAATAATGATGACCGGGCGAAATGCAGGAACTGTGTGCATGGTTGCTCCGTACACACAGTTGTTCGCAGTCTTTTCATGAACCCCACTCCTAATCTGTTGAATCAGAATCTTTATATTAGGTAATAACAAGTAATCAAGTGCATCTTTTTAATTTTTCTTTATGCTGTCTGATCGCACAGATTATGCCCTGCGCTGTATGACGAGTGAGAGCGCAGTGCGCAAAGCGCGCGGGCTGGTCCTGGCCACGTGCTGCCACCACCGCTGCCAGCAGCAAGCCTACGTCGCCAACGAACACTTACAGGTGAGCTGATCTGCAACTGGTGAAGTTGCCAATCAAATGCAATGCCTGATTTCCCACAGAATTCATTATTGTCTAAAATATTGCTTCGTTCCATGAAAATTCCCTATATTTTGCACATCATCATCAACAGCCTTTAATAATCCACTGCTGGACCTAAGCCTCTCCTTAGAAAGGAGGTTTTGGCCTACTATACCACGTTGGCCAGACGGGTTGGTATAGGGTTTGTGTCAAGTTTTCCTTCTCTCTGCAGTGCTGTTGTTCTGCGTAATTTTTTCCCTTAGTCGGCTCTTACGACACCCACGGGATGAATAGGGGTGTTGACACTCTGTCTTCTTAATCCGTCACCACACAGACATTTTTTTTTACACATGGACTGACACTATACACTATAATTGCAGAAGCTCGGTATAAGCGGCGATGACCTGAACGTGATGTTGGGAATAGTATCTTGGGCGACGTGCGGCGATGGACGTAGCCGCCAGTACAGGGAGAAGTCCAACCTGCCTAAAGACCCCAACCAGGCCATCGATATTAGCGAGTCTAACGATGGCGAAGAACACCCTAGAGACGAAACAAATGAGGAAGATCAGGCGGGCGGGCACGATCGACTGGTGCTAGGACAGGAATACCGCGAGAAAGTCGGAAGGCGTGCGAAGCAGTTGCTCGACTGGGGCCGTGTGCTGTACCTCCGCGACTGTGGGTTCGACGCTCGGCTGTGCTACTTCGTACCCACCACTGTGTCGCCAGAAAATGTTTGTATAGTTGCCAAGAAGTGTAGATGATAATATGTAATGCCCTGATCTCTGAGAGTGAGTCTTATATAAAGCTTCCTGATTTCCCACATAATTGTTATCCGCTAAGTGTAAATATAAATAAAAAACCTTTTGCTTCCGTCCCTCCTGTTCAAAAGATTTTAGAACCTCATAGCTTGTATACATATAATGCTCTTAATCTTGTGATAGATAGATAGACGACACCGATCGACACCGTAAAACAAAAACAATGGTTTCTTTCTATTACCAAAAGAAATTCTTTATTTTGTAACTACATCCAACAAACAATAAATAAATAAAAGTAATTATGTGTTAATTAACAAACCTGTTAACAAAAGAAACGACATTCAAAGTTTATTATTGATGTCGATTATATATAAATCACATTAATTATTTTTCACAATCTCAATAATGTAGGTATATAATACGCGTAGCCATTAATCAAAAACTCTCATTATACTACAGATAATAAATTCAGTCTGCTTCGCTTCGAAATTTAAATAAATATATTTTTTCTTTACATACATAAAACACTAAACAAATTAAAATGATCATGTTCTTGCACATGTACGCAGTCAAGTCTGTTGATATCCTATCGCAGGCTTTAGGCGGCATTAAGAAAAAAACAGTCAAAACAACACTTTTTTTTTTTTTTTTTTTTTTTTTTTCGTGCGGAAATCCCCTCGGATACCACCTGTCGGTGGCATGTCGGACTCGAACCGACTAAAACCGCACGCCGTCGCCGGGTACTAATAGCCGGGGAACCAGGTATACCCTAGAAAGGAAGTCCCTGGTGCAGTCAGAACAACCCTAAAGATAGTAGCGAGAGTGGCAGGATGTTGACACTCATAAGCAATAAACCATCAGTATAGTCTAATATAACTGCCATGACATTACCTACATTAAAACTTTGAAGAGTATTACTAGAACCCTTTCTCCACCTTCGCTAACTAAAGCCATATAAAATAGTTTCGATGTTCACCTTGTTTTGCCCCCCTTGCTACGGTATTCGGTGGTCGGGGTTCACACACATCAACAGCCTTTAATAGTCCACTGCTGGACATAAGCCTCTCCTTAGAAAGGAGGTTTTCAATCCCAAGTTATGACTTTTCGGAGTAAAATTGATCAAAGCTGGTGGTGTAGAGGCACGGTTGACCTACAAACACCGTTTACATAAGTACGTTACACTGCTTACAGTGAAACCACAGACATTTCCACATTTATAACGATAATTTAACATCAGGGATAAATAATCCGTAACCAAGAGATTTGACCAACACTGGGAAATATCGTGATAGAAAGACTGCTCCATAGTACAAATCACACTAATGGAGGTACCTGTCACCCTGGATAACCACATAGCTACTTTTTATGCCGAAAAAATGTAGTCTGGGATGAGCAAGGAATTGGAATAAGCTGCGGGCGCAGCAGCGACAAATAAAACAACTCGTAGCAAATATAATTGTGTATATTTATATCAATTATCATCTAAAACAAAATTCTATTACTATACAAATGTTCAATGAGCCGAAGTGCGCCGCAGTGCCGTCCCCGAGCGCGAGTCGGCCGATAGTCGCGCGACAGTCGGCCGATAGTCGCGCGACACTCGCCGCCACCGGTGACGTCACTGTTGCTACCAACCAATTCGGTCCCGACCCACATTGAACTTAGCGCCGCCAGAAAATATGAAACACTTAAAGGAAGTCATGACCAGCCACCAGTTTCTTCATTAAGCCGTCCACGATACATCACGTGTGCTATGCTTAAGTAAAACAATACATATATGAAATGCTTTCTAATCTTCTAGCAGCGTCAAGTACGGTTGCGTTGGTACTATCAGTAATAATCTTAATAATTAGCAAACTTGTTGCCGCCGACAAAAATAAATTGTATAAGCACTCGACGAGTGGCCTAGCTGTGCTGTGCATGCGCAGGTCGAGGTTCGCTGTAGTTACTACAATAACTAAAACGATTATTTATCGAAAGAAAAAACACTCGAAGTTTGATTGCAAGTTGCTTCATACGTATGTTAAGTAACATTTTTATGTATAACTAGCTGAGACCTGCGGTGTTACCCGCGTTTGTTGTTATTATAACCGCTGGCAACGCCGCGTGGCGAAGCTAGTCTAAAAAAAGTAGCCTAAGTTACTCCTTATGTCATCAGCTATCTGCCAGTGAAAGTCCCGTAGAAATCAGTCCAGCCGTTCCAGAGATTACCCGGAACAAACAGACAGACAGACAAAAATTGTAAGAAATTTAATTTGCATATGCATTTAGTAAAAAGCGGTTATTTTAATATTACAAACAGACACTCATATTTTATTTATTTGTATAGATACGCGTCATTAATATTGAGAAAACGATACACTTTTACGCTGTGATCAAACATATTAATTTGATTAAAGTCCCCAAGACCGGACAAGACGCACGTTAGTAAATCCATGCCACTACATATGAATGTATTTTTCTTGTAACGTAACTTACAGCGAACAGCGGCCTTGAAGCGCGGCCACTCAACAGTGAATAACATCTAACTTAATTAAATAACTATAAAAATAAAAATTATCTATCACCAAAACGTTTACATAAAATAAATAAATGTTAAATGCTCTGTTACTGGCGAACAAACCCTCGATTACAATACAACTCCATTTTAGTTCTTTGTTGAATACCGCATGTGGTGTTGCCATGTCAAATATTAATTAACGTCAAATTGGAATGCGAACTGGTAACCCTATTGTAGAAATATTAAAAACTAATGGATTTAAAGAAGAAAGAAGTAAGTATCCACTGTCACGTAACAAAGTTGAGGGCGTATACGTTAGTGTACGGTAGTTACGTACTTTGTAGAGTACGTGAGACCGCCACGAATGGTCTCAGAATCAATATTATTTACATGACGCGACGAAACTTGTACATTCTAAAGTTTAAATGAAATATCCTAAAGTGAACGTTACATCTGACAGGGGCACTGATAGTTTTATTCAACGGGTCATTTTCAGATCATTTAATCTTTTTAAACATCGTAGCGATTTTAATTTATTTATTCTCGTATTCTGAGGATACTGATGAAACTTTTAAATATATTTTGTTTGAAATTAGATTTTAGCGGTCGAGTCTAAAAATACTATTGCACATTATGTTAACGTGAGTGACGAGTCATATAGAACAGCCGAGTGTTCGACTGCTGCGCACTTCACTCTACAGGATCCTACTCAGTTTAGTTCAGGAGAGAGAGGAATCAGTCGTGAATTTAGTAGTATTCTGAAAATTATTTTAAGGTACTAGTAACCCGGGTCAAACGATATTTAAAAGTAATCTGTAACCCCATGAACGCAAGGCAAACGGCTAAGCCGTAAGGTGCGAAGGACTTTAATATATATAATAATAATAATATTGTAACACATTCACACAACGCCATCTAGTCCCACACTAAGCAGAGCTTGTACTATGGGTACTAGACAACTGATATAAATACATATATACATTTTTTTTTGTAAATACATACATATCATACACAGAAACACAGACCAAATCAAACATCAAATGTCACGCACACAAATGTTCGACTTGAGCGGGGATCGAACCCGCGACCTTTGGAATAGCAGTCTGTTACACAAACCACTACGCCATCCGGTCGTCATATATGTAGAATAAGTGTTTTTAGTAAGTAAATAACAGAAATTAGGTAGATAATAATCGTAGATCGTCTTGTTCCATTACCGATAGTGCACAGTAAGAACTACAAGTCCGCGCCACTGTAGCCGAGTATGGGAGGGGGGAGGTGGGAGGTGGGAGTGACTCGGACCCTACAATATATTACAATATGTACACACGGGCGTACCCTTGACGTCACATTCGAGATGGCAGCTAACACTCTAGAGCCAATTTATTTAAACTGTTGAATGAGTCTAATTCCTTGTTTTATACATTAGTTCCTTTCATCTACAGGCACACTACATTGACAGACATTTTCTTTAAAAGATTTATATGAAACTAAATCTCATAATAAACACAAAAAACACAGTTGAACCAATTACAACCCATATATAAAAAAATATGTTCTCTCTATACGTACAGAATTATTAAGTGTGAAAAACAAAGATTTCGTCAGTTAATTTTTTCCTATGTATGAATCTTAAAAAAGCCAATTTTTGATGATTAAATTTCACTATTAAATTATAATAAATTTCAAAAATAATTGTATGGGTATCTTTTTTTAGCAATAAAAATTACAAATAAAAATATTGTGTCCATTTTGGTGTCACATATTCCCTATTCCTAAACCGATAAATTAATATTTGTAAGCCAAATTACTCGAGCCGGGAAATGAACCTGGGACGAATAAATATTATTATTACGATATACATGTATAAAGTTCGTTGTATGGACTCTCGTCGAAGTTTATGATAGTCGAGATATGACACCATTAAATATTGTTTAAATCGTGTATGGAAGCGTTAGCACACCGAACATCCTACAATAGTCGTTAACTTTAATATTATATATTGGAGTATTCACCTAAACACACATAAAATTACTTGCCCTGATCAGCCCCGGTTTTTTCGAACCGGGGCAGGAACCTGATAGTGGCGCCCTCTAGCGTTTGACACTTAAAAAACTCACATATATATAAGTTCACTTGTAGTGTGGGCCTGTGTGGTGGCTTTTTCTTACAAGTCGACGGTGAGCCAACCAGGCTTACGTATGCTAGACGCTTTGTAGAGCAAGTTTTTTTATTTTTAATCATATTAGGTGTTACTATTGCTCCCTCCTAGATCCGGGGCTGGCCCTGACTGATTCATAACGCAGTACCCAAACCACTAGGGTTACAACTTGACATTTTGGCAGTTGATACTTTTTATGTTGTAAGAAGTTACTAAGAAAGGATTTTTGGAAATTCTACCCCTAGGGGTACAATAAGGGATGAACGATTGTATGGAAATTCGTCACTTTCGCAATAGTTAGTCGCTCATAATCATAGATGTTGTATGTTACGACAAAAGGTGAGTCTAAACACGCGGCAGATTTCACTAGTTGTATATGAAATTATTAATTAAAAATCCTAAACGTTTTTTGTTCAAGTTGTATGTTTTGTTAATCGTCAGTCAACAGCTGTAGTCGTACAGTACCCACAGTCCTACGACAGCGCGTTACACACACATTTATAATAAAATAACATAAAATACTGTACAACTAATTCACATTCATTTAACATTTTCATTACAGGAATTAAGTACACATTTGAAGGTGCTTGTAGTGGAATTTTTCATATTTTTTCCATAAAACCAATAAAATTATGAATAACAGGTAGGGATTGCAAGTTATCAGTAAGTATTATAGAACAGGGCCGTACTTAACGCGTTATATTTATTAAATAAAGCAAGATAACGAGGCTACTTATTAATAAATTTAGCGACATTTGTATTATACAAGTCTTTTTAAGTAGATTTTTGATTTAAACACACCCGAGACCCGTCACATTATATACAAGAGATTGGTTCCCACCGAAGGGCACATCGTCAGTTAACTCTGAACAATATTTCTATCAGAGATAATATTAAACATAATGTTCTAGTACGGACTCAGCCATATATATATCTTTCTTTATACATTATTTTGTTTATTTTAGAAAATTCGTTTATAATACAGCAAAGGACACAAATTTTAAGGTACTTTTATAATTTTCAATGTTATTTTATATGTTAATTTACAAAATGCTGAAATTAGTAAATGACAAAATTTAACTATTAAATATTCGTGTTTCAAAATATATAATTATTAGTTTGGGAATTACGGCGATCAGTAGGGATTACCCTATGGCCTATGATCAGGACCAGGGCACCTCGTATCGATACGACGGCGATTTGTATCGATAGTGTTTGATGATGAGATGATGAAATCGATGATAGTCATAGAAAACTAAATTTTAGAGATACAGTGTCTACCTGTTTATATCTTAGATGAATAATGATATTAATAACTAAACGTTCCAAATGGTATTCAGCGTTTAGTTTTTAGTTTTAGTTTCTATTTGTTGTTGTTATATACCCCTCCTTTGTTTTATAGAATATTATTGAATATGATAAATAGATCTTCAACTCGAAGTTAGGTATGAAGGAGGAAAGTGCGTTTATAAACGAGACGAGCATGGTGTGTGTGTGAAGTGGTGGTGGTGTGGTGGTGCGGTGGTGGGCCGGTCAGTAGCCGTACTTCTCCTGTATGGAGGAGACGACGCCGTTGGCCAGCGACGACAGCCGCCCCGCCACGCGCGTCACGCCCGCGCGGACCGACTCGCGCACCTGGAGGGGAGGGGGGGGAGGCATACGTTACTTACAAACGGAACAGCTTGCCGATTCTATTATTAATATTAAGTACTTGTAAATATTAACGGGTATCGATCGAAGTTATTTAACTAATAACAGAAAACCAACTAAACCAAAATATCTTACATATTTTCAATTATTATATATTGTAAACATTTTAACCGCGCAGTTAAAATGAATCTATATTATTAAGAAAATATGTATTTGATTTTAACTGTAGCTATCTTTGGTTTCAATCAGTCTTTTTTTGTTAAAATCAACTTCCACACTAGGAATATATCCGGTGTCGCGGGAGACTTTAAAAACATATATGAAACGGACACAAAGAATACCCAAACTCATTTGTGGATCACACAACGTGTCGTCGCAGAGGGGATCGAACCCACAACACTTAGCAGCGTGGCGAACGCTTAAACCGCTACGTCATCGGTGCAATCCGCAATAAATTTAGTTAGTATTTAATCTAATTCTACAACAGATCTTATAAGAAGGTATATAGTGGAGGCTAAGTGTACGTACATCGTCGAGGTCTGGCGCGGAGACGCTGAAGGCGGGCGGGCGGGCGTCGCTGCCGAAGTACTCGGCCGACGAGATGCTGCTGCTGCCCTGGAACCGCGACAGGTTGCCCTCGCGCTCCCACCGCGACTCCTGCCACACCACACACCTCACACATCAACTAATCATGTAACTCTTAAAACGGTAGATATAGTCTAGCATATATTCCGACCTGTCATAATGCGTATGTTTAATAAATGACAGGTCGAGTAATTTTAACGAATAATAATAATAATTATTTTTTCTTAGCGAGAGTAGGTGACTCTCCATTACATCAACTATTTGCTAATAAAAGCCGCGTATAAAACAGGCTAATTTTTTCGGAAGTTATTTCAAAAATGATGAAATTTCTCAGTTCAATTGTACTTTTTAATCAACACTGTTATTTTGATATAACAAATGGATATTTAATTTGAATTATTTAGAAATTTGAAAAACATTCGAAACATTTTTCGTCTTAAAACTTGTTAATTTGTTATTTGAATTACTAAAGTGTTTATACAAGTGGAACCTAATGTCAACAGAATACAAAATATTTAATTATTAGTTACCTTGTAAACCACACATTTAAAGTTGAATTGGCTATGAGTTAAACAAAAGTTTAACATGTACCTTGTCCTAAATGTAGCGTCGAATCTAGTTATATTAACAAAACGACTTTTGGAACGAAGTTCCTTATCGCGCGTTGTGAAAGGGGGCTAGACAGAAAAAAATCTTACGAAAATTGGTCACGACACTTTTTATTTTGAATTCAGCGCCATCTATCGAATAGTAAAATTAAAATTTATGTTCTTAGGTTGAGCAAAAAATATTGTATTCGACATCATTTCTCAAGGAGATTTTACCAATGTATAAATTGTTTTATTTAGAAACCAACTGAAAAATATGTAGGTAATAGCCGCTTTCATAGATGGCGTTGTAATTAAAATCGTGTCTAATCAGTTTTACTCGATCGTAACAACTTCGTTCCTATCGGGTGTCCCACGACACCACACGGCTTTTTTAACTCAATTTTTATAAAGACTATTTAATTTATAAAAATGGCATCGTGAGACTATTTTTTTTAAAGCAAACGAAATCAGATATTCTGCTTCGAGATAGGCCGGATGAACATAATTCAATACCCGTTAAATTGAAATGGGATTCAAATTTAATCTTCCATTCTCATGCTCGTCTAATCTTTACCTCGATAATTCTGAAGGTAGTTATCATTCCTATCGTGTAAATGATGTATACAACAGTACCTGTTCACCGAAGAACTGTGCGGAGCTGATGGCCTTGGCGGAGCCGAACTTCTTGACGGCCGAGTCGTCGTCCACGGTCTCAGCTCGGCGCGGGCGCGAGCGTCCAGCGCCGGTGCTGGTGGTGCCGGTGGTGCTGGTGGTGGTGGCGGGAGAGAACATGGTGTGCACGGCGCGCGCGGGCTCCGGCTCGATGCTGTGCACGCCGTCCAGCGACGCCGACGAGGACAGCTTGGAGCGCGACTCGCCCTCGCCGAACAGCTTGTCCAGGCCGCGGCTGTTGCTGTACGGCTCGTTTCTGTGCACACCCCGACATCACTCACAACTCTCCATTCAGACTTACATAAATGAAAATGAACACTGAAAGGTCTCGGACCAAAGTTTCATTAAAACCATAAGGCGAATGCTTTCCTATCAAATAATAATAATAAGTATTTTTTTATTTTCTCTCACACAGAATGACATATCTTGACATATTAAAGTAGATACACAGTTATAGGTGAGTTGAATCTGTGTGAGAGACTGGTATCTGCACTAGGTACACCTGTATTACAGATTACCAGCCTCTCCTGACACTAGATGCGTAGGTGTTATCCTGTAGGTATAACTTGATTAGGTGAGAGCTAAAGCAAAGTGAAGTGAAGGAAAAATGTATGTGTGTGTGTGTGTGATGAAGGTTGTGTGTGTGAATAGAGATAATAACCCTACAACGATGAAGATGATAGTGATCGGATGTGCGTGATTGAACGTGATTTATAAAGGAAATACATGGCACTAATATGTGTAGATACGACTATACTTATACAAAAATAAATATCGAAATCAAGAAGGTGCTAAAGCACGCACTACGCACTCTGATTATAATTGTGGATGAAATAGATTTATTTTATTGCTCACTGAGTGAATTCACAATAACAGCATTAAGAATTATTGCTTATAATAAATAAGTAGATGGTATAACACTATCGCATTGGGCTAAACCTGAGTTGTTTTTAATGGAAATAAATAAAAAAAAAAGAGTGAATCGATTGCAATATACCTAAATCCTTAAAAACTTAGACGGGAACATCAACATCTACAAATTGCATGTTATAATTTAATTTAGCTTATTTAATATAACGTAAAGCTTTTACCATCCATCTGTTATTGAAAAAGAAAGACTAAAGAAGGAGGACACACTGGAAAGAGAGGTAAACTGCTCACACAGATGGGCTGAGATGATGTAAACTAAAGCAGTTCAGGAGGAGTGGCGGCGGTTACCTGATCATGGTGAAGGCGGAGCTGAAGTCGTCGATGTCGTCGATGGGCGTGCGCGTGGGCGCGTCGTCGTGCTCGATCACCGTCATGTCCGACGTGGCCGAGTGCGTCACACCCGCTCTACGGAAACAGGACATCTGTTACTTATTTGTAATTATTTTTATATATCACTTATACACCAGGTTCGACAACAGTGTTCATCGAACTCACCGAGTTATGATACTCGAGAAGTCCGATGAGAAATTAAACTGTCTTGGAACCCGCAACGACATTAACCAGAAGTAAATTGGAAGAGTTGAATATATAGTAAATGAACTTCCCTCCAAAGTGGAAGACAAAAATGAAGTAAAAATGGTAAATACACTCTTTTAAATAGGGAAGCATCACGAATACAAAACATTATGGGTCCTATGGGAGTTATCCCATATTATGTATGGAATTCACCCTAGTCGACACATGCTATTCAGCATTGTATTACGTTAATTGTATCAAATACTACGTTCCCGGAGGAGGAGCTGCGTGAGGGGGGGAGGTGGGGGGTGTACTCACGCTCGTCCGGCGCGGCTGGCGGCGGCGATGCCGAGGCGGTCGGAGTTGGCGCGCGCGCTGGGCTCGCGGTAGGCCAGCCGCAGCGACGCCACCTCCTGCTCCACGTTCTCTATGGTCGCCGAGCTCTCCGTCGCCTTCGTCTGCGCAAACGCACACCGTTACGTTATTACATTCGATTCCCGCTCAAGTCAAACATTTGTGTGCATGAACATTTGATGTTTGATTTGGTCTGGGTGTTTCTATGTATAATATGTATGTATTTCCACAAAAAGCATATATGTATTTATATCAGTTGATTAGTAGCCATAGTAAAAGCTCTGCTTAGTTTGGGACTAGGTAGTGTTGTGGAAAGTGGTACAATATTATTATTATTATTACTACAGCAAGTGCGAAAAGTTTTCGCCACTTACCTCTATTTTGAGTTTCTCAGCCATGATGGCCTCCCGCTCGATGTCGTCAAAGTTGGCCGCCACCTTGGTAGCGCCCAGCCCCCCCTTGCGAGCGCCCAGCTGGTGCAACAACACGACACATTCAACACTACTATACACATACCTACAGTTTACACTGTACGATATATACGTTTATACACTCACAGCTTCCAAATAACATTCCTGAACACATATCTAATAGATAAAATTGAAAATCGGCGGTAGCCTAGTGGTTAAGGCATTGGACTTGCAATCAAGAGATCGTGGGTTCGAATCCTGACCAGTACACTACCGACGTGAACCCCACTCCTAACACAAGCTATTTAGCTAAGCGGGAGGGGTTAACGGGAATACTAGTAATTTCAGTTGCTAGTAGACCTTTTTTTTTAAATCTATTTAATTAGAAGCTTGGCTTAACCAGCTGTTGTTAAGGCTATTTTGACAAACAGTTGCCAGATTAATTGGGAGAGAGAGAAACAAAATTAAATCAGAAATTCTTTAGCACTGTTTTATCTTTTTTTAAAGCCGCGTAACATTACTTTAATATCCAGGTACAAAGTTAAAGTTACCCCGACATCCGGTATCAGACCAAACAGCTTTGTAATAAAATAACACATTGAAACGGTCGGTCGAACACCTAGGTGAGTGTGAAATGTTAATTTGTCAGCGTGTTGTGTTACGTACCCCGGAGCGCTTGGCGGGCGTTTTCCTGGCGCCGATAGTGGAGGCGCGGGGCGCGTCCCCCGCGGCGCTGCTGGAGCCCCACAGGCGCGCCTCGGAGCTCAACTCGTTGTCCGGTTTGGACACCTGACATTCAAAATATATGCTACAGTATCATTCTATTAATATAACAAAATAAAATAGATTTGTGAATGTTAGTTTATATGTTGTAGTAGTTTGAGAAATGCAACGTGTTTTTTTGAAATATCTTCGGATCTCCGGCTCCTTGGGGATGTATGTAGGAGCCAGGACTATGTGGTGATTCCACTAAAAACCACCCCGACGGCCTGACTCTGGCGCCCTACTCCGAGGAGGACCCGGACCATGTTATTTCAGGTATCCTACTTCAGTCCTAGGTTCAACTTTGTAATTATTTAAAAATACCTTACAATATCTTATTAATGTTACCTAAATAACGTATTGAAGTATATTTACTCTACATAAGACCGCCGCCTGTTATCCAGCATTGTTAGTATTATCATCAGCATCTGCATGTCTACCAACTGGTGGCCGTCCAGAGACCAGAGACCAAAAATTCAATCCCAATTTATTTAATCACATCAATAAATATCGTTGAAAAAAAACTCAAGAAAAAAATCGGTTGTCTGTAAAGTTGGTTTACTGACGATAGTTGAACGTGACAACGTCATAAGAAAATACTGATGGAATGGTTGCATTTTTCAAAAATGTATTATTGTATACGAGTAGTAGCTGTCCACGCGGACGCATCGCTCACTCAAGTAGGAGAGAGACAGATGTCGAACGCTGCCGAACGCGGAGGCCGATTGTGCCTCTTTGTCACTCGTTCCGCGCTCTCGCTTGCACTTCAAGCCTTAAATGGAACGCCTCAGAGCGAGGTAACGCCGTATGAGTCATGTTTTTTCGAGCGTGCAGCCGGCTCCATCGAATTATAAGACGTTGTCACGTCAAAAAGTAAAATTGTTGACATAGAGAAGAGAAAGGGTGTGCGTGTTGAGTACAATTTATATTTAGACGCGGAAGTTGGAATTCAGAGCTGAGGACAACGATAACATATCTGTGACGTGGCGTTATCTACGTGCACTGGTGACACATCCATGTGTCTTACACTTGTCACTATAGGTGCACGGGTTTCCCCGTAAATAACATTGTCCATTATAAACAGTTCACTATTTGTCTTGTAGACAGGTACACCAGGTAGTATTGATTAAGTGACTACGCGAATTGGGATATTGAATACTAGCCGTCACTAAACTGAGCCGGGATTCGTTACCGACGCTGGACATTTATTTGGGTATTCCATAAACAGTCGTCTTGAATGTTGGTATTCTTTGTACTTGTAATATGTATAAAGCACAAAAAAATTAACCAATTGACATTTAATTCTTAGGCAACATTAATGGGAGTCAAGTGCCTTTTTTTAACTTTTTTTTTCTAACTTTCTTTTTCTTCTTTTTTCACAAAATTTTATAAAAACTGAAACAATAAGTGAATGCATCTTCACCGCAAACCAAGGTTGCTTTGGGATAAGTAAAGTTATTAAACAGTATCGATCTATAACCGGCCACAAATCTATAAATGGTCGAACCCTATGAATAATAGATTGATTTCATAAACACGTGGGATGTCAGTACATAACAGTGAAGTCTGAATGCTAGTGCAGTGACGGTGTAAGGCACAATAAGTACAGAGTTGATATGTATGTGTAACAGTGAAGTGAACTGAACCAAAATATTTGTACAAAAAGTGCCACAACAAAGTCGTAAAGGGGTACAATCTGGTTACTTGAACACGGCGAACTTAATTATTTGAAATATGAAGATTTATTTTGTAAAGTAACGTTTTCATGAAATTACAAATGATGACAGTCAAACCGCTTAAATATACACAAGCTAAATACATTGACCGTTGAGAATCCTTAGCGTGATAAAACATGCAATGATTATTGTGAAATTCTATACGTTTTTTTAAAAGCAAACAAAATTATCAGATATTGAAATTAACTTAATGACAATTTGAATTAGTCAGTCAGTTAAGTTATCAGAGAAAATGAGAACACGTTTTGCTGTGGTTACCCACTGACACTGAGTGGTCCATTTGTCTAGTTAACAGGAGCATTTTATCGTTTTTGTTATTTATTTGATAGTAGGTATTGCGCTGAGGGTGATCCCTCAACACAATACAACAGCTATTTTCATACATATTTAAAACAAAGTATTAATAATTTCATTATATGTATATAAACAAATAAAGGTTGCCTGTAAGATATTGCTTTTTAGCGATAAGGCCGCCATTTGTACATGGTCATTAACTTGGAATACTATTGTATCTATAATATCCTGAATTGGTGTACGAGTACAATAAAGATTATTCTATTCTATTCTATTCTATAAACGTATTCATCACATTTAAGTATAGTTATATAAAGAGTGATTGAAGTGATTCAATACAATAATATGTATTTCTATAGATGTCACAGGACCCACTTCATCATAATCACAATTAATATAAACCTTCACACAAAAAACTCATATTATTAAGCATGGCAACATAATCAAGCACTTAGCAATGGAGACATACCTTTTAATAAACATTATTCCATAAAAACTTTCTCCATAAATATTATATAAATGGTAATATTTGACGCTTCACAGTATATATCACTGATGTTTAGCATAGAAATCACTGGAAATGTCAATGTCATTAGAATCCCTGAATGGATTAAAAACTGCATGGTACTGCATATATGGTCATGCGATGGCTCATGACGATCCTGAGGATCAACTCATGTTTTTGAGAACATTTTAGTGAGACACAGTGAGTTCCATTTTCAATTTTTTTGGAACCAATTAATATTTATGATCATTAAAAGATTTAATATTTAAAATTATATTTCTAGACAGCCATAAATTTAAGATACATAGAAAGTGTTTGTGGGTATCTACTCATTATCAATTTGCGTCAATATGATATCATTGTAATTAAATGCAGACAAGACCTACAGAGAGGGGTGTATATTTGCTGTTGCTCCACCTTATGTCTTTGTGTTGCAGAACGGTGGGAAAATCCGTCACAGGAATGATTAAGAGCTTCGTGAAGCTTGCTACTGAGATCATGTAAGAGGATTTTTTTTATGGTATAAGAGGGCAAACGAGCAGACGAGTCACCTGAAGGTAAGCTACTACCGCCACCTATGGACAACTGCAACTCAAAAGTCACTAGTGCGTTGCTGCCCTTGGAGTCCAGCGGGAGGGGGGATTTGGGCTCCGATAACCTCACTCACTCAGTGAATGGCAACGAAAGAATTGCTTAACAAGGGTTTTCTGTGAGGCTGTGGTATCACTACGGTCTAGCCGGCCCATGCGTGCCGAAGCATGTCTCTCCCACTGTTGGCGGATGGCGGAATGAAAGCGCCTGGGGAGTCTTGCCTTCCTATTCTTGCAAGTTGAATGCATCTTCAGAAATGGTAGGCAAGGTCTGTTTGGAGTGGATCTTGATCAGAGACACTTTGTATGACCAGTGACCCTACATGTACCCTTGTGTCGGGTCGCTCTCCCGAGTGAGAAGCGCGAGTAGTGATATGGAGGGTAAGTGGTGAGGTGTTACCTGTGCAGTGGTGGCAAGCTCGCTAGTGTTAGTGGCAATGTTCTCCGCGAACCAGTCTACCTCGGCCTCCTTGCTCTGCTCCTTCACCTCGGCCGGCGCAGCATCCAGGTGCAGCTGAACAACACATTGCTTATCATTTTAAAAGTTTAGACATGTTTTAGAAGAAGTAACAAACATACAAACACACAGACTCACAAATTTTCGCTTTTATAATATTAGTGTGAATATTCTCACTAATTTTAACTAGACAAAGTACAAATAGTTTAAACAATTATTGCAGTAGTAACACGCCAGCTAGAATAAAATGCTGATAAGTTGCAACCTTGGGAAAGTGCTATGTGTCATAAATGAGTCACGTACAACAGTCATTAAAATTTAATATGAGTTATAATTTGTTGATTGTTGAAATCATTAAAATTTCATCATCCCCTAAATAATTGTGGGGTGTAATAGATCAGGCAGTGAGACCTTACACCCAAAAGAAGTTTTCAGTTACAAACATGTACTGCATGAGATGGGGATCTTCACTTTTTAAGAGGACCTGAAGAAGGAGAAATATCACTCAGTCATTGATTCAGCAGAATTGTCAAACCTTCATGGGAAATAAGATTTACACACAAGTGAACTATTAGAATAACAACTATTTACAGGTTCCAGTAACTACGCAAAAGACCCCTTTTTTTCCCCTCGGATACCACCTATCGGTGTCATGTCGGACTCGAACCGACTAAAACCGCACGCCGTCTCAGGCACTAATAGCCGGGGAACCAGGTATACCCTAGAAAGGTAGCCCCGAAGACAAAAGACCCTAGAATTAAATCTTTAAATAAAAAAAGAAACGTGCGAGACATTAATTAACATACTGTGATGTATTACATACATTTATTTAAGGCAGATATTTGTTTAGAATAGTAGCTGTGTCACTCTTTTATCTTCTCTTTATGCTAAACTCTAATACATCCCTACAATATAATGATTTAGCTCTCAGCAGTTGAGGAGTAGAAGTAAATCCCCTCACAATAAATTGGATAACTGTATCAATGGATGTAAAAAGAACATATCACTATTTATTTACTTACTTTTAGCTAAAACAACTTATAAATTGAAAATATAATAAATCAATTAAAATACCCCTATTCATCCCGTGGGTGTCATAAGAGCAGACTAAGGTAAAAAACTTTGCAGAACAACAGCACTGCAGAGAGAAGGAAAACTTGACACAAACCCTATACCAACCCATCTGGCCAGCGTGGTATAGTAGGCCAAAACCTCCTTTCTAAGGAGAGGCTTATATCCAGCAGTAGACTATTAAAGGCTGTTGATGATGATGATGATAAGGCATATCTATCTGTGTATTTTACATAATTGACCTTAGTAGACAAGGAGAAAGTGTTTAACAAACAAATTAGAATAGTTAGGTACAGGTACACACTGTTACACTTTAAATACTATTATTTATAACTAGCTGACCCTGCAAACGTTGTTTTGCTATTTACATTATTTAAAATGTTTTTTTTTTTCTTTTTCTTAAAATCCGTTCTTAGCTGACCTCTACTCGGTGAAAAGAATATTCCCACCAAATTTCAAGTCTTTTGCTCGAATGGTTCCAGAGATATCGTGATGAGTGACTGTATACGTAGAAATTTCTTATATCTATACTAATATTATAAAGCTGAAGAGTTTGTTTGTTTGTTTGAACGCGCTAATCTCAGGAACTACTGGTCCGATTTCAAAAATTCTTTCAGTGTTAGATAGCCCATTTATCGAGGAAGGCTATAGGCTATATATCATCACGCTAAGACCAATAGGAGCGGAGCACCGGTGAAGAATGTTTCAAAAACGGAGAAAATTTATTACTATTGAGAGACGCAGACGAAGTTGCGCGGGTCAGCTAGTATATATATATAGATAATAGTTTTTTTTAAAGTGTATAAGTATTATCAGTCAATCTAACTAACAAGTTCATAGTACAAGCTCTGCTCAGTTTGAAACTAGATAGCATTGTGTTCCAGATGTCAAAAAATATCTATATTTATTTATTTTGAACATAAATAAATAAATTAGAAAAAGACTTACCCAACGCTGAAATTATTTTTAATTGAAAACATTAGTTCCTCATACTCCATATTATTGGAGATACCAATAGATTATAATATATCTTACTATATGATTCAATTAAGACAACATAAAAATTAAAAGCTCAATACAATTCATCTTATAATAAATTTCCAATAAGAGCACAATTTCCAATAGATTAATCATAATACACTATTATTAAATATATCTTTACATTACCCTGGCCATGGACAAATGTATATTTAGAATTGATTAAAATATACATAAATAAAAGTTGCTCTGATTAAATATATTTATATACATATATGTACATAATACAAGGACAACCTTTTTTATTCCATGATATATAAATATTTATATGTATTAGAACTAGCCATAGATAATGCAACCTAGTCAAAACAGACTATTCAAAGGTGTAATATCTATTATATGGTTACATTCATATTGTACATTTAAACATTAAACTAACTATTTATGGTTATGCATTTTGTATATTGGCAGTGTAATTAATGCTTACAGGGTAGATAAAGATGTTATGATACCTACCTTTGTTCCATATGTCTTCATAGCCTGCTCAGACAGTAAATTTAACTTGTCACGATACATCTGAGCCACTCTGGAACTGTATTTTTGTCGGGCATCATCTGTCACCAAGCCATGCGTACGGAAAAACTGAGTCTAAAGAATAAAAAAAATAAACATTAATGGTTTACTGATTAGATTAGCAATGACTAAAAGTTGCAGCTTTTTTATATTTTGCACAAGCTTTATTAGTTTTAAACATCTGTATTTAAGAACAATAACTTGAATTCTGTCGTGATATCTAACAAAATTACTTGAAAGATAGCAAAGGATCACAGCTAAGAGCATTTTTGTACCGCGTTGACGTTCCCGCCAAGCTGCATGTTTCGGAGCTGCTTCCATGTCCAGTTGGTGTCAAGTTGCGTGGATCGCACGAATGTGAGGTGTACGCCGAGGCTGCGGTGCACCGCCGAACAGTCCAGGCAGATGAACACACCGTACGTCACAGACGACCACGTAGGATTCTTCGCGTTGCAGTCGAAACATACCTGGGTATCACAACACACTATAATTATCACTGAACTTTAATTCTCTACTACTCTGGCTTCTGAAATATACACACTTTATTCGCCGGAATAGAACGTAATCTCTGGAATATTGCTTCAATATCGTTTTTACTTGGCCCCGAGTCAGCCATTTTCGACGTGTTGTCACTAAGTCACAGACGTCAGTCACCAGTCAAACAAATGTCAAGTCCGTGTCAATTTAACGTTCACGTAATCAGTGCGTTTAATTTTATCACTTCGTAAAATTACTTTCAACAAAAGTTAAAGTGATTATTTAGTGTAAATATTGGAAAGTCAGCTAAAAACTGCTAACAAAACAAAAAAATTCAGTGATTTTTTCATATTCAATCATCGCTATCACTGAAACTGACGTTATGAGAATACTTTACATCATTAAAAACTCCTTTTTAGATCGCTTTGTTATTAACTTTGTTTGTACATACTTTTATAACCAAATGAATACATACTTTTATAACCAAACAATGTGAAGTATTATTGATATTTAATTTTCTAAACTTTATTGTAAATCTATACAATTCAAATAAAATTCTTTCTTGTCTATGCTCTCGTAATCGTCGAGTGAGCGGACAGCGGACGCATGTTAAATTTCTAGAGATAATTTTGTTGATAAACTCATTTGCTGAAACCGCATAAAACGTTAAGAGAAATAAGTTGCATTTTATTAATTAATATTGTACCGTCTCGAAGTTGTGATCTGTTCAGATCAGTGTGCGTTTGATGGACGCTGTGGAGTGACCGCATCTCGCAATCGAGGAGCTCGATTAGTTATGTCGACGTGCCAGTGTCTTCGGGCTGTGTAGTGAAAGTGCCTAGAAGTGTATCGACGTGCGAGAATGTCGGAATGGCTAGTGAAATGGGTATGAAGCGGTCGGTGTAACCACTTCAATGGATAACGTAAACTTTCAGCCGAGTGGCGAGGAAATTGAGCGGGCGCTCATGGACCTAGGCCCGCTGCTCGGCGTCACCATCAAAGAGGAGGTCCCAGACGAGCTGGCAGATCCTAATGCCTCCGCACGCTCTAATCTAAATGTAAGTACTTCAGGATACAGTAACAATTATACATTATCTAGTATTAGTGAACATTTAATTACCTGATATCACGGCAATTTCTTGGCCTCTAAACAGTTGAAAAAAATAAATTTCGCAAAAGTATTATTTGTTACTATATTTTACAGCTTTCTATTTGTATATTGTATAGCTTTCTATTTCTACAGTAACTTAAAAAATATCTAGATATTTTGACGATATACCTACCATATTATACCATACCTTGTGAAAATCTAAAACAGGTTTACTGCTTTTGTTTAACTGCTAACTACCTTAAAGTGCACAATCTGGCTTCATCACCCATAAACTGTCACCTTAAAATGATAATAAACAGTCAAGGAAATAAGATAATAGTTACAAAATCAAGCAGGTGATGAACATGTATACTGATGATGTTTTGTCAGCAAAGGCATAAAACATAGTTACTAGACAATACCTCATTTTGGTGGAAGTGGGATTCCCAATAATGGGCATTCTATTACATATACTAATTTTTGAACATGATTAATGTTAACATATAAACCTTCTATCTATAACTTTAGTTATCAAAGACCCAGAGACCATAGGGTATATCCTAATTTCAATAACAAAACTATGTCCAAAATGAGCATGAATATTCACAGACAAAATTTAAGAGTGGAAGAATATTTAAAGAAAACTCTTCTAGTAGGTATATTACTAACTCTTTATAATTCCTTATGAAATGAAAGTTCATATAGTGCAAATAAGATTTGTATGACTGAAATTTGTAATTGTTCAGTTTTCACATTTATTTATTAAATAAAAAACTACAATATATTTGACGGGAGAGACAGGTAACATCATTAGGTTATTACAATGTATTTTAAATTTGTGTTTCTTTGAGGTTGATTGAGATTATAAAAATTCTACATCTATATTTGAGGGTAGCAAACTTTATGATTTGTTCGTAATAGAAAGTACTGACTATCACTTAATGATGACCTTGATTATCTCAGCAGTAGTATTCACAAATAAAATAATACAATAAGACTGATACTAAATGTTTACAACTTAAATTAAAAGTTAAAGCTCATTATTGCCTTTTGAATAAATTTCAAGGGTCCTCAGATAAGAGCAATGCAGCTTCGAAAAACTCAGCAAACCAATCTGACTATATTTGTCCAAACATAACTGTCGTTATTTCAACAACAATATAGGCCCTCCTTAAAACTAAACCTAAAAATAAAAATACAGTAATTTAGAGGAACTGAACAGCGCCATTTATCGAGCGTAACAACTTTAATAATGCATAAGATACATGAGTGCATACCTGTATTGGAGGCTGATGTGAAAAAACATATTCAAACAAAAATAAAAATGCTTGCAACTCTGCAAGCTGCAATGGCCAATGGGTTGAAAGTTGCAACTAAATCTAGAGAACAAACTCCTCTACAAGAATATCTTAGAGCCTTTTTGGACCTACAGCATTCATCTGTTGGGAACAGCGTCCTCATCAAACATAGAGATCCAGCGGTTTCAGTCAAAAACTCTGCGAATGAAAACTGTAGCACCCTGGTACATAACAAACATGTTTCTCTGTAAAGACCTGAAAATTGATTTTTTTCTTTTTAAAGACAGCTCCCACATTACTAATATATTATGTGTCGTAGGGGCTTTTACAAATTTACATGAAAACGACACAAAGAACACCCAGACTCAGAACAACAATTTGTAAATCACATAAAGTGTTGTATGTGGCGACTGAACCCACATGATTGACCGCTTAAACCACTACTCCATCCGTGCAGTCAACTACATTTGGAGTATAAAATAAAATAAAAAAACATCTAACATGCAGCTTTATGGATTCAAAATTAGACAGAACCTGTATGATAGTACCCAGACTGCTGATAAACACACCCTTAGGTACATTACAGATACATTGCAACGAATAGTATATTCGGCAGTATACCGAATACCGAATATTCGGCGAGGCCTCTGACCGAATAGCCGAATATTAGGCAAAAGTATTCGGCTGGATTTTAGCGCCAAAAGCTTGTACAGACGTGAATTAAATTATGTACCTGTTTTATGTACCAATGACTACTTAATAAATGATTATAAAAGAAATGAGAACCTTACCCTTCTAAATGTTGATTACCACAATAATTCAAATACATAGAATCCTCCATTTTTCCTATTCAGAAGATGATTATGTAGCTGTGTTATGCACCAATGACTACTTAAATGATTATAACAGAAATGAAAATATGAATATATACGTAATCAATCGATTTTAATTTTTCATTTTACCAATTATTTCTCAATGACAAAATATATTATTTAAGTATTCGGTATTCGGCCGAATAATATGTAGATATTCGGTATTCGGCCGAATATAATAAAAGCAGCCGAATACCGAATAGTAGCCGAATATTCGTTGCAAGTCTAATTACAACTAATTTATTATAGCACTTAGCGGATCTCATTAAGGATGAATTCTGTCTGTAGTTTAAGCTGTAGTGGGGGACTTAAGAAGAAAAGGTATCCTAACAGATCTAATTTTCAAAACTTGTCATTATTAAATAAATTAAGTTATATCTTATCTTCTCATATCTTTTTGGAACCAGATTAAAATATAACAGATTATGATCTTAATATAATTTCTATCAAAGTTCTATTTAAGTTCAACTAAGTTCCATATAATTATTTTGTAATGTAAGTTCAATTAGAATCCTCATTGTTTCTGGCCGATTCAAGTGCTTTAGCTATTTTTTACATCCAATATGTTGTTATCCCTTAATTTGGCATTGTATGTCTTATCATACTGGGACTGCAGAAAATATTTAGTTAAAAGTAATACAACATACTTTGATGAAATAAATATTTAACACAAATTACCTTTGGTCTACTAAATAACATAAACGTCTAGCAACACTATTATTGACACAACTACAATTAATATCTACCCGGCGAAAGTCACCTGCACTTTCCAAGGTATTTATGTTATTTTTTATTATAATTATAATGAGTTGGACTTGTGTAATAGCAGTTATTTATGCTTGACAGTGTAATGAAATGCTTATAATAGAAATTGCAATATATCAAAAGAAATTTTAAACACTAACATCGTGTAGGCCGCAACGCACTTGTGACTTTTGAGTTGCAGGTGTCCATGGGCGGCGGTAGTTGCTTACCATCAGGTGACCGGTCTGCTCGTTTGCCCCCTTATACCATAAAAAAAATGTATATTGTGACATACATCACCAAGTTCGTAATAATAGATTTATTTATTTATTTGTCATGAAATCATCAACAGCCTTTATTAGTCCACTGCTGGACATAAGCATCTTCTTAGAAAGGAGGTTTTGGCCTACTATACCTCGCTGGTTGGTATAGGGTTTGTGTCAAGTTTTACTTTTCTCTCCAATGCTGTTGTTCTGCGTAGTTTTCTCCGTTAGTCTGCACTTACGACACCCACGAGATGAATAGGGGTGGTGACACTTTGTATTCTTAATCCGTCACCACACGTGATATACACTGCCAATTTAAGGATGCTTGGTTGCAGGATTTACTTTGCAAAACCTTTTTTTTCTTTGTTGGCACCTAAAGCTTTAATCCCATGGTGTTGTGGTGGTTTCTTCTTTTTTTTTGTCATTTTCTCCTGCTCCTTCAATAGATAGTTCCCTAGAAACACCAGCTCCAGCGAGAATAGAACAGGCTTATACCAGTTTATTAAAGTATCTATTCAAGTCCTTAGAACCAAAATACCAGTGTTGAGTGTCATACCATCACTCCCAGCTACAACTCCATTAAAGCTTGCGCTCTATGAACTAACAGAAAGCAGTCTTATGACTCCTACCATAGTAGCAACTCCACGACCACCTCTGCGTCACGTTTGCCCAGAAATACGCCATCGCAACGTCCTATTTTGCGTGTTATCAGGCAAATAAGGAAAATACCAAAGCTTATTATGAGCTGCGAGTGAAAAAAAAACTATCTATCAACGCTCAGCTCTAAATTATTTACAAAAGTTATATTTTCAGATGTGGTAGAGCAGACCAAGACCGATACCGGGCAGTGGCCGGCTTAATTTTACAGTAGACGAATTACGTGACTTTTTAGCCATACACATTATTATGGCTGTCGTGAACATGTCGATTATTGGAGTGTGCGGTATGGAAACCAATTACAGTGCAACCTCGATATAACGAAACTCAAGGGAATTATAAAAATATTCGTTATACTGCGTAATTTTTTATTATATAGGTTAGATTGGACTACGATTCGTTTTAACAAGGTAAAAAACCTTGTTCATAAACCTCAACTTTACGTATTTAGATGCTCATCTGTTTGACTTGATAAAGCGAACGATTTCCACTAATAAATGAGAACACTCTTAAACTAAAAGACAGTATTTTCTATTTCGAAAGAGTTTACACAATTTTGAGCGATTTCTATTTCTTTCATTGTAGGATTCTCCTCTAAATAATTAATGATTTTTTTGTTTCTGTCCGACACTTAAGGAACACCTTTTTCGTTTCTCAGCCATTGCAACTTTAAAACCAACAACAATTACAAACAGCAGTGCTTACTTTACTGACCATCAAATCAAACAACAAGAAGCATCAAACTCGAAGAATTTTACTGTCGAAACATGAATTACTGTTGTACAATAAAATGGGAATAGTTGATAGAATATATACGTTATGTAAAGGTTACAGGTTGAAAAAGTCGTTAAATAGCGGTCAATACATTTTTATCTTTATTCTGCAATGATTAAAAATTCGTTATAAAAAGGTTTTTTTAAACATATATTCGTAATGTATATTTTGCATTAGCTCTTATGATCGTTTCTAGGGGATTTCGTTAAATCGAGGAATTCGTTATGAAGGTTACACTGGGGAGGCTGACTTGGTGGCGTTAAACCGGTATCAGAAATGTGGACGCACCACAAAGGGCGATTTACATAAAAAAGTGCACCATAAGCTAACCCAGTGGACTCGTCACGTTTTATGACAATGTTGGTCATTTTCTGACTATGACCACACAAGGCCGATGTAGGTTTTGCTCTAAGCTTACAAGGTTAATGTGTATGACATGGCAACTACGTCTGTGTTTCGTTACCTGCCTAGGTTCTAGAAATAGGTCAATGCTCTGATATTTTTTTAACACCTCTGTTTTATTTATGTTTTTGTTTTATAGTTTTTATTTTTGTTATTATGCTGTATTTAGTAATGTATGCCTCGGCATACATTTTTATATACTAGTTATACAACGTGTCCCAAAATTCAACGATAAGCCGGTACCGGTGTATGGTCGGGTATAGCTGCCAAATTAAGGATTAAAAGCAATTAACTATTGCCCGCGGATTCTCTCGCGTAATTATTTCTAACTTTGAAAATGACAAACTTTCATACAACCGTTCATCCCTTATTGTACCCCTTTAGGGGCGAAAGCATCAGCTTCCAAAATGTCAAGTTAGTAGACCCTGCGTTGACGAGTCAGTCAGCCAAGGCAAGACATTTTATATGTATAGAAGATATCCATTAACGTGATGTTACGGCTTTTTGGCAAAAAAATTGTCACGCAATTTCTGCACATTCAAAAATACTAAATAATACCCCCACAGCATGTTTTAGAACGAATCAGTACCGAACAGTCAATATTCGTTCATCCCGCATTAGTTCACACGTATTCGTAAGATGCTACCGATTTAAAAACAACACATTTAAGAACAGGATTTCCGTACAGAAAAAAAATGGCACATCGAACAAGCCCAAGATGGGCATCGTGTGATCACACAATTTCTGCATGAAGTGCACAAAGCCAGATAGCCCTACGCAGTAGCTCGATTAATGATTTTAGAAGAGTTATTAGTATCTAAAGCCATTACACCATTTAATCCCTGAAGTCCCTATTTGCCGCCTATTATGTAAGTGGTAGTAAAGTCATAATTGGTAAAATGTGGGTGTTCAATATAACCGGGCCTCCCCCCTTCGGGGATATAACCGTAAGTATTAATGTCACATTAGCTATTATTTGCCAAACCAAATATTTTTCAGTATCAAATCTTTTTTACAAAAGCTGTAATTCCATTCTGTCATTAAAAATAATTGAACTCGTGCAACCGTTAAGCTGTTAAGTTTAAACAAGCAATTTGGTTTCTTTGATTGTGAAATTACGTAGTGTTATAAAAAAGAACAGTTACCAAAAATATAGATCTTGATCATTACATTTACGTCAAACAGTGACTGAACTAATGACTTTCCTCTTGCAAGGTGTGCGTGAGTTCATTGCACTCATGATTTATAGAAATATAAAAAGTGCCATTTAAATATTTCCTTAGAAATTTACAATAACCCCAACTCAGAACAGAACCTAGGATTTTTTTTAAATCAGAAGGTAATTCTCGTAATTTACGTTTGGTCAAAATTCAGCTTCGATCTCGCAACTGTCATAAAAGGTATTTTCGTAGTAAAGTATTAAACATTCAACGTTCACTGTAATGTGATTATATTGTATTGTGACCGAAAGTTAAATCGGTAATGTGCTAGTCTTAGTAATACTTGACTATTTTAGTTGATCGGTCGTCGAGAGTTGATCGGAACTGAAGTTTGACCGAACTTTTAGTACGAGAATTGGCCTTTAGGTCAATGTTCCATCTGATTGTAATGTCATTGAAGTTACATAGGTATAAAAATCCATTATACCAGTAATAATAAGGAGAATAAATAATTATGGTCAAACACCCAACGTTGTTTCACTCTCCCAAGAGGAGATGTAGGTATTGATAACTTATCAGCAAGTTAGAAGTCGCCAGGTTTTACTTGTAGCCATATCTACTTGATAGACCTCAGTGTATACTGTATGTATATTACACCACTTTTTAGAATAGAAATCAAACAATAAAGTTGCCCTTTTTAGGGTTCCGTACCTCAAAAGGTAAAAAAGGAACCCTTAAAAGATCACTTTCTTGTCCATCTATCCGTGTGTCACCACCGATTTTCTCAGGAACCGGTAGACCTAGCAAATTGAAATTTATACCAGATGCTGACGTCTATGGTCCCTATTAGGTGTATAAAAATCAAGGTCCTGAGTCAACACGATAAAAAGATATTGGAAAATTTCGATTTTCGCGAAAACTTGTAATTACCAAAATTTACCTTAATTTTCACCTTTTTTTTATTTTTCAGAATTTTCTCTTTACTTGTGCTGTAAGACCTTGCTTTAAACCAAAATTGTCAATTTTAGGTCAACCGGAAATACCCTATAGGTTTTGGGTCGAAAACCAATTTGGTAGTTCCCGTTGACCTAGAATCACGAAATTTGGCAAAAAGAAACGTCTTACAGCACAAATAAAAGAATAATTCCAAAAAACAAACAAAGTTGAAAATTAAGATAAATTTTGGTACTTACAAATTTTCTCGAAAATCTACGTCAAATGTGGGTAGGTAGGGAACCCTCGGCGCACGAGTTCGACTCGTAACTGACCGGTTTTAATACTTGTTTATAGCATTAACAAAGCAATGCAATGAAATGTTTAATTAAAGGTTAGCAGCACCCCCGATGGTGGCATCGGCGGCGCGGGAGCCCCGGGCGAGGGTGGCAGCGCGGCGGAAGGCAGCGAGAATGCAGACGGAACAGAGGGCACGTGCAAGGGTACGAATGCGGATTCGTTGGCCTCTCCGTCGGCACCGCGAGCGGCGCTGTCCGGCACGCGCTGCGTGCTCTGCCACACACCCCTCGCGCTCAGCGACGGCACGCCCAAACTTATGGAGTGTCTGCACTCGGCCTGCGAGCCCTGTATCAAGGCCAAGGTCGAGGAGAAGCATGCCAGCTCTCGGGACTTTTTAGGTATATATATTTCTAATACATCTTTTATTCTGATCAACAGTAAGTTAATTATAACGAAGTTGTTGCGAATTTACCTAGATTCAAAAGCTGTAATGTTCGGTTCCCTTTTGAGATTCCCTCTTATTCCTAGCTATCAATTATTTAGAAATACATGTAATACACACTTCATTTAATTAATTGTAGTTTGTTTGTTTTATTTTTGTCCAATTTATTGTAAAATTCGGATAGGGGTTTTTCTACTTTTTAGTTTCATATAGTGGTACTCTGCATGATGTATGACGGGTTAAATCTCAATATGGATGCATGTTTTAGATTTTAGTAGATAATGTAACAACTACTGGCTATCCAATAAATAAATACAGCAAATGTAATGAAAGGGCCACGAGGAGTTATAGAGAAATTAGTTTTAGGAGGCAAACGAGCAGACGAGTCAACTGATGGTAAGTGACGACTGCCGTCCATATACACCTGCGGGGTTGGGGCTCCGGTAACCACACTCACACGGTGAAAGGCTACGAGATAATTCTTACCACCCTTCGATCAAAGTTAACACCGGTTTTCTGTGAGGCCTTCACTTCACTCCGGTCGAACCATGAATATATCGTATAATAATAGAGAAACACGGTATTGATACGTGATGGTCGTGTGTGTACGAATATTGTGAAATAAGGGTCTGACAGCAATTGGCAAAGTAGGTGCAATTTGCAGTTAGCGTTAGCATCCGTTACACTTCTGCATACTTTTTATATGCGTTGTTTTTAACTGCACCAAATATACTAAAAATGCTAATGGCTAAATATATTTTTATTCTTTAATACTTATCTCGATTTGGTATAAAAACTGTACCAAAAGATTTCATACTCCAGTTATAAAATTAATCTTTACATGTCAATGGCGACCCTGAAGTGCTTGTTTAGAGAATAAATTGCATTTGGTGGTTATTCTACATCGCCAGAAGGTCAATTCTCATAATAAAAACTCGTTCGAAATTAAGTTTCCATCCACTCTCGGTCTCACAAATATCATTAAAGGTATTTTCGTAGTAAAGTGGGTTCTATCGCCACATGGGACAACACTTTGTGTAATCCACAAATTTGAGTTTAGGTGTTTCATGTGTTTTTGTAAAATCCTCAGCGTCACAGGATGTATTCCTAGTTTCGGAGTTGTTGTTTTCTTAGGCTTTCGTCCAACCGTGAACAGCGATTCTTATAACTTTGTCAGTAAGAGGAGTCATGACAATATGACCTCCCCGGCTGCAGACAGTCCAAACTGGTGCTGACTAAAGAACTCACCTGCAGATTGATTAGTCTTAGCAGACTAGAAATCCGAATAGTTGTGGGAACTATAACAGAACACCTAGACCTGAACCGACAACTATTCACCATTAATGCAACGGACATCCAGGATTAGTTTCTTCTGCTTTCAGACATACTTTGCAAAGAGGATGTCTGAGAAGAAACTAATCCTGGAATGCGAGGGAGTGGCCACAGAACAGGCATTATCATTCCTGATACAAAATCTCTCCTAGAAGCCTGTGAACGCCCCAGGACGCTTCTGCGCTTCTAGAAGAAGCTTGGTTGGCTCACCTAGCCAACCTATCAGCAATGCATAAAGAACCATTCTTGAGTCTAATAATTAAGTACTTGACCTTGCAACCGGAGCCCATAATCAATTCCAATATGACCTCAACTAAAATTTAAGGGTACCATCACGTATCCGACTCTGCGACTCTTTATAAGTTTCGACAATGCAGCCTTTAAGGGTCTTATATAAAAATACCAAAAAAAAACCACAGAATTCTGGCCTGATGATCGTGAGACCACCTAGAAAGTTAAACTTTTGAAACAAAATTTAATTTACGTTATGGGTTTTGCAATTAATCGAAAACAGTTGGTTTCTTTGAGTATTTACGTAAAAGTATAATAATGTAGGTGCTTTAAACGCCTCTGCCTAACATTATATTACAATATGTTGCTGCATCAGTACGCTGACGCTACGGCGGTATAACATTAACAGGGCCTCAATTCTGCTATTTTAATATTGTATCAATAGACTGGCGATGGAATGTCGTCGGAATAGTTTAGCACTTTTCCTATTCTACTAACTTACTTGTCACTGATACAAATGTCGTCGATGTCTTTGTAACAGTTTGGTAAACGGTAAATTTTAAATTTGTAAGAAAATGATTTTTTAATTTTCCAGGTATGACAATGTTGTTGATATTACCATTGATGACCTATATTACTATATCGACAGTGTAAATTTATGTTAGTAGAATACTGATATTTTGACCGATGTCAATGGCGTCTCAATAGCGTGTCAATGGAATGACTGGCTTGGCGTTACCATAAAATAGCAGAATTGAGGCCCAGCGCGATGATCGGAAAGGGATATTGCTTATGCGGATGGATGAGGGAGCGCGAGCAACAGCTCGTGCAGGTCAGGGCCGTGTGCCTGTAACCCCAACACTTTATGAGATACTAGCTATTCCCCGCGCCTTTGTTCTCGTCATTATTTCTTATTTCGTGTTTCCAACTTTCAAAATGACGAACTTCCATACCTTCATCCCTTATTTTACCTCCCTCGGAGTGAAATCTTCTTAGATAGGTACTCTTTATTGCACACTTTAATTAGGATACATGCGATGATACATACAGAAAAAAAAACAGTCATACAATGGGCGGCCTTATCGCAGCCTGCGATCTCTTCCAGGCAACTTTTAGATGGACTATACTAATCTATACTAATATTATAAAGCTGAAGAGTTTGTTTGTTTGTTTGAACGCGCTAATCTCAGGAACTACTGGTCCGATTTGAAAAATTCTTTCAGTGTTAGATAGCCCATTTATCGAGGAAGGCTATAGGCTATATATCATCACGCTAAGACCAATAGGAGCGGAGCACCAATGAAGAATGTTTCAAAAACGGAGAAAATTTATTACTATTGAAAGACGCAGACGAGGTTGCGCGGGTCAGCTAGTCTTATATGAAATCTTCTTAGTGGGTACTTACGAAATAAAAAGTATTAGCTGCCACAATTTCAAGTGTGTAGCCTCCGGTTTACACTCTGCGTTGATGAATCTAACACTCAGTCAGGGCCAATAATATATTTTATATTTATATGCATAGATTATGCTTTTGTATTAATAACATTCTTAATCCGTCACACACACACACCACCCAATTCATCCCGTGGGTGTCGTAAGAGCCGACTAAGGGAGCAAACTAAGCAGGACAACAGCACTGCAAAGAGAAGGAAAACTTGAAACAAACCCTATACCAACCCGTCTTTCCAGCGTGGTATAGTAGGCCAAAACCTCCTTTCTAAGGAGAGGCCTATGTCCAGCAGTGGACTAATATAGGCTGATGATGATGATGATTAATAACATTTGTCAGATAATACTTACTTTACTTTCAAACAATCTTCTTTTACCTTTTCTCTGAGTCGCTCTACTATTCTACCAAATTTAAATATACATATTATTCTATATTCGATTAGATATATCGATATTCGATTCATTCCATATTTCACTAATATTTTTGTTAAATAAATGTTACGTCAATTGAAATTCGATGCAAAATTGTAACGTTTAGATTTGCGTGTTGTATACTGTTGTATTGTGTGTCCTTTGTATATGTTTCTCATGTATCTCGCTGATCTTGAAAAATGAGTTTTTGGTTCAAACTTTTCTGGCCAGCGTGGTATAATAGGCCAAAACCTCCTTTCTAAGGAGAGTCATATGTCCAGCAGTGGACTATTAAAGGCTGTTGATGCAGTTATTAATGTACAAGATGTTGTGTCTCTGGTGGCAGGCGCTGAGCGCGTGACGGTGACTTGTCCTGCGTGCCGGCTGCAGTGCCAAGTGAGCAACATGATCGACCAGCGCTTCGTGCTGGAGAAGATGAGCCTGGAACAAAGTGGCTCTAACGGTCAGTACAACGCAAACCTTTTAACTTTTACTTTTAACAGGCAAGGCGCATCACGTTACTTACACCAGCACAACTGTTCGAATTACTGAAACATTATGTGTTGATATCAAAAAAAAAAACCTGAAATCTTACAGGGAAGCAGCAAAAGCATTCGCCGTTAATTTCGTTGTTGTATTGTAAGTTGTTGGTGGACAGCTTCACACAACAGCTTCACCAAGTTGTTGGTGAAGCTGTAGTTCACGAGTAGCCTCGGACGAAGTCTCAGTGTTTGTTTGATAATTCGTACGTCGCGTTGTTTGTAAACATTCAACATCGAATTATATTCGACCGACTACTGGCTGGTTTAGAAATGCTCTGATGAGTTCCAAGCACTAGTGTTTTGCACTATTTCAATTAAAAGTTTTCAATTACGAGTAAACGTAGCATGTTGGGGAGAGCCTGGATGGTACATCGACATTAATAACTGGACACCTGTCACACACTGCCGTCTGGTCCCAAACTAGGCTGAGCTTGTAGTATGGTAACCAGGCTTTTGATACATGCATACATGGGGATACATGGGGAGACAAAGCAACTGCCTTCGTCTCCCCATGTATGCATGTGTGTGTGTGTGTTATCTAATAAAAACATAGGTATTAAAAATTTGCTGCAGACATTTGCGGTTTTACAAGTTACGGATAAAATTGTCACAATAGTCAGGAAACGGGAAACCACTATCTATTGAGGTTTAGAGTGATGTATTTTACGTCGATAGTTTGTGGTATATTTGGTCTCTCATTCTCGAGTCGTATAGTAGACGCAAGAGGGAAAAAATGTTAAACGATCGAGAAACATTTAACGAAAACCCCATTATTTCCACCATATTACAAAATACTAAAGATTATGCAAACCTGCTATCCACCGCCTTTGGCGATACCTTCTGTACACTACTCCTCGGCAAATGAACGAAAGAGACTGGCCTGAAAATTAAGAAAACTAACAATACGAGCTTTCTACGCGACATGCCCGGTTCCCCTGTAGAGAAATGTTATTACACGTGTCATATAGATACAAGTTATATCTTAGGTATACACAATATCAAATTGTGGTCATTGAAGGAAATTGAAAACATCTATGGTATAATTAGAGGACGTCACGTGTACGTTAAGTACTTTTCTGTACTTGTCACGATAATCGGTACAAGAACCAAGCCTTGCAAACAAGCTCATCCATCTATACAAATAAATAAAATTGGAGTGTCTGTTTGTAATATTAAAATAACCGCTTTTTACTGAATGCAAATGTATGTTTACACGGTACATATGCCAAAATAACATTTTTTACAATTTTGTCTGTCTGTTGGTTCCGGGTAATCTCTGGAACGGCTGGACCGATTTCGACGGGACTTTCACTGGCAGATAGCTGACATAAGGAGTAACTTAGGCTACTTTTTTTAGACTAGCTTCGACGCGCGGCGTTGCCCGCGGTTATAACAATAAACGCGAATAACCCCGCGGGTCTCAGCTAGTTTATTATAAAATCGAAATAGTAATTAAAAACGGCGTGAGGGGTCAATGGACCCCCGGTCAGAACGAAGTTCCTTTCGCTTTTAAATAGACGTTTGTCATACAGTCATTATAATTTATATTATAAAATATCAAGTTAATAGAGTTAAATTGAAAAAAAATTGATAAATAAATAGTGATAAATAAAACACTGAATGGTCTGGGATCATTAAGTTGTGCGATGTATTTAGTTCATACACGGCTGTGACTATAGCAAGAAGTACATTAAAAAAGTCTTGTTACACATTTTTCGGTCTCGCTCCCATCCGCTCAGAGCATACAATACAAATATTACAATCGACTAAGAAAAAACATTCGTCATCATCATCTGCCTACCCTTTTCCCAATTTTATTTGGGGTCGGCGCAGTATGTATGATTTTTCCATTCTACTCTGTCATGCGTCATCTCACTGTTTCACATTCAATTCTGTATTTACCTAGACACAAATAATCTGTATTCGTATCCTTATCCGCGGATATACATTTGTATGATGTGCCAAAGTGTAAGACTATAGCGCATGTGTTGTGCGCAGGCGCACTGGCGGGCGAGCAGCAGTGCAACAGCTGCGACGACACGGAGCCCGCCACCAGCTACTGCGTGGACTGCGCCGAGTTCATCTGCGACAACTGCGTCAACGCGCACCAGAGGTAAATTAGACTTGGCTAGACTTGTATCACAAAAAGATATAGTGATGTTGTCAAAACACAATTATGTCGGTAGTACCCAATGCAGAGTGTGTAGAGTGCGAGCGTGTTCCGCAGGCTGAAGATAACGAAGGAACACACGATCAAGTGCAAGGAGGAGGCGGTGGCGGAGCTGCAGGCGGCGTCGGTGGGGCGCGCCGCGCACGACATGTTCTGCGCCGAGCACTCCAACGAGCGCCTCTCGCTCTTCTGCGAGACCTGCGACCGCCTCACCTGCCGCGACTGCCAGCTCACGCACCACCGCGACCACAAGTACCAGTTCAGCACCGAGATGGCCGCGCAGGCGAGTCCCTACTCTCCTTACACCCGTTACTTGTACTTTTACTAATTTAACATCCTCGGTCATACGAATATCCAGTCTGTTCATTAACGGCCCGAACGTGTGTGACAGGCTCGCGCCAACATAAGCTCGCTGCTGTCGGAGGTGAGCTACAAGCGCGTGCTGCTCGGCTCCGCCATGAAGGTCATCCGCGACCGCCAGCAGCTCATCGCGGACAAGAAGAAAGCGCTCGTGCACGAGATCACCCAGACCGTCGTCAAGTAAGATTCTCCCCGACGTATCTCTCTGTCGTCGTCGGCCCCGTCACCCTCGAGCTGTGCTCTCTGTGCAGGCTGACGAACGCGATCAACACCCGCGGCAAGCAGCTGGTGCTGCGGCTCAACGAAGTGTGCGACGCCAAGCAGCGCACGCTGAACGAGAAGAAGGAGGCGCTGGAGCAGCTGGCCGGCATCACGGACCACTGCGTGGAGTTCGTGAACTGCGCGCTGGAGGGCGGCAGCGACACGGCCGTGCTGCACGCCAAGCACGCCATCTGCGCGCACCTGCAGCGCATCAAGAGCCGCCGCGCCGACATCCCCAACCCCGAGATCCCCGTGCGCATCAGCCTCTCGCTCGACAAGCTGCCCGACCTCGTGCGCGGTGCGTGCCGATACTGCTTTCGCTCACTGCTCACTCACACGTAGTCGATCCTACAGGGTTCAGTCAAATTATACCACTACGTTACAGTGTTGTCGAGCATCGGCGCTATCGTAGTAGACGGCAAGCCGGACGGAGGCGGTTCAAGCGGAGCGAGCGGTGCGCAGGGTCCCTACCACCCCCCCTCGACGGGGTCGGCGGGAGCGACCCACGGAGGTCACGGGGGCCACGTCCACGCGCAGCAGCACGCCGCGCTGCAGGGGGCGCTGCACCAGCAGCAGCAGCAACAGCAACAACAGCAGCAGCAGCAGCAAGCCTCACCGCACTCCGCCGTCGTGGCGCTCCAGCACGTCGCCATGCACCAGGTCACTACCTTGCACTGGTTATTTTTATGTTTTATATCTGCTCACAGTCCCGGTAGTATTTATCCAATAGAAAAGAATCCCACCGTAAAATAACAATATTAAACCTTGCACTCATCAACATATAAAGTAACAATTTTAAAATAAAACTTCCTCGAAACCCATCAAAAAAAATAATTACTAAACTTGCTCTAGTTGCATGAACAAATTATCCTGTACGTTAAAATGTTTGATAACTATTTTATATACACTATCAGCAAACAGTACTAAGTGCAGTAAAAAAATAAGTAATAGTCCTCTACAGATATAAACATTGATTTACAATTCTGTCGCAGTGAACTGTTCATTTTGATGATAAGGCGAGGGCTATAGAAGTTTACATTAGTAGTTGAGGTGTGACAACACCAAAACACTTGCTTTGTCTCTTAACAATATTAGTCAGTGTCGGTTAAGTTGGATTTAGGAGCACATTTGATTGCACGGATGGCGTAGTGGTTTAAGCGGTCGCCACGCCGCTTCCTACTGCGCTGACTGTTGTGGGTTCAAACCCCACATGGAACGACACTTTGTGTGATCCACAAATTGTTGTTCTAAGTCTGGGTGTTTGTAAAGTCCCCCGCGACACAGGAATGTATTTCTAATGCGGGCGTTGTCTTTTTAAAAAAAAAAAAAACGACTCATTCACAATGTTGTTCCATGTCTCAGACATTGGTTCGCTACCAGGTCAGTTCAGCACCTGCCTGCTGTACGTATTGAATGTGTCCCTCCCTGAGTTGCAGTCACCGTTAGCGGCTCTTATTGGCTTTATGATGTTGAAAACAATTATTTATTTAGTTTTATTGTTGGCTTTAGTTTTACATAGAGGTCATCGTTGCATGTCTGTTACCTTTTTTTATCATAATATGTTAGTTTATGAATTAACTTAACAGTTTGTTAAGTAAAGAGTTTCGGTTGTAAACTACATAGCTTTAAATGTGTATTTTTGTGATTTGAACTATAAATGTCCAACCTTTGAAGTTGTATTGTATGCAATATACTGAAGTCGAGTTCGTTTTTTTGTTCAAGCTGTAGTATCATGTTTTAGATGACTCGTGCGCAGTCCGCCGGGTAGCGATTTAGCAGACCTATGTAACTTTATGAATTTATTTTTAAATCGTCCTTTTTCAGTTGCTTCTTTTATTTGATGTATAAACTTAAATATGGTGTCAATATTAAATAATATTAATGCACAAAGCAGTAATTTATATAAATAGGCAGCTGAACTCTGTCCTATCGAGTAATATAACGTTGGTGTCCAGTCGTTCGGGCCCGTGGGCGGCGGTGTGGGGGGCGGTGCGGGGGGCGGCTACCTCCCCCTGCAGCACCAGCTGCGCGCGCGCCACGCCACGCCGCTGCGCCACGCGCACGTCACGTCCACCACGCACCCGCACCATCTGCACGGTGAGACCGGCGCTACCATTTCTAACTATCGCCCTTTATATCACTTACATTTGAGTAAAAATAGAAAAGAAATAGTTAAAATAGTTTAAAGAAATAAAGTATATACATAGTCGTGTACGTGTGCGGTCGCAGGAGTGAACGAGTTGAACCTGCGCGGGCTGCTCAACGCGGCGGGGGCGGGGGCGGGGGCGAGGGGTGCGCGGGCCCTGCCCCCCGCCGCCCCACCGCCGCACCCCCCCGCACACCCGCAGCACACCGCGCAGATCGCCATGCACCACGCCTACCACCAGAGTAAGTAGATCTTCCTGAATCTACCATATATTTATAGCTCACCGCCCCGATAGACTTTGTTTTTGGCCCAGTCGCAGTCCAGTCAATGAAACATATTTCACTCTACATACTTTAAGTTTTATTCTGGGGCAGACACAGATGAATATCTACACGACCTAATCGACTTGAAAACGTACCAAAAATAACCTTAATCCTTTATTTTAATTGACATCGAATGTTTGACAGCTAGTTACAGGGGTTTTAATTTATTCCGTAATTTTTGCGTTTTGTTTTACTATATTCCTTACACTTGACGTTTTTTTCATTTCATATGAAATTTCTTTGTGCTTATATATATGAAAGAAAAAATGGCCGAAACGGTCGAGCCGTTTTGAGCTTTGCTCTTAGTGACACGTTTAGTGATTTATTTTTATGTGTATAGACATACGAATACACACGTTTTTATTTTGGACTAGCTGACCCGCGCAACTTCGTCTGCGTCTCTCAATAGTAATAAATTTTCCCCGTTTTTGAATCATTTTTCATTGATGCTCCGCTCCTATTGGCCTAAGCGTGATGATATATAGCCTATAGCCTTCCTCGATAAATGGGCTATCTAACAGTGAAAGAATTTTTCAAATCGGACCAATAGTTCCTGAGATTAGCGCGTTCAAACAAACAAACAAACTCTTCAGTTTTATATATTAGTATAGATAAAAAAAAAAAAAAATTATGTAAAAAATCTAATATGATAAGGTGGAATAGTTATAAAACAACTTAAAGCGATCGATGACCTACAATGTTTTATTAAAGCAGCTGAATGAGAACAAAATGTACTTATTATTATTGCAGTGATGGGTGCGTACGCGAACTCGAACGCGTACGGCGCGGGCGGGCCGGCGGGCGGGCCGGCGGGCGGCGGCGGCGGGTCGGCGGGCCCGGGCTGCGGGCGGCGGAGCGGCGGGCCGCGCACGCCCTCCCCCGCGCCGCCCGGCCCGCCGCAGGCCCCCCCCGCCTACCCGCACGCCAAGTGGCACATCCCGCAGCAGGCCCTCGCCAACGGTAACATTTGCTAACTATACTTTCAAAATAACACGTTGCATTTATTTATGTCAACCCTTACATAGTTCTAATTATACTGCCCATTGAAAAAAGACATTTAAATGTTAACGCATTAAAATAGAAATGCAATTACTGTATGCTTTTCATTTGTGTCATAAAAACACAGTGACGGAAAAGTTCTGGTGAAATTAGTAGTTCCCTTGCTTTGATTTTTAATATGGCAAATGATTTTTATGATATCAAGTCAACGTTTAATGTTAAAATTAAAAAAAAAACTATTACTGCACGATTTACAACATTTTTTACCTTCACTTTTCTGTAATGTGCGTATAATAGGCTTGTGTCCACTAATAACAAATTGCTCGGTTTATAGTTTCAAATTATAAATGAAGAGACATAGATAAGATAGACCATATCATAGACATTAAAGATTATTAATATTTTTATAAAATAAATTCGAACAAAATAGGCATTAAGTCACGTGACAGCGAACACCAATCAGAAAGTGTTACGTCACGCCACGCAAAACATCATTGTTGTTGTTGACGTTTTCATACAACAGAGCAGGTTACTCCTTATTGTGTTTCGTTTTTAGCAAAGGGGAATGCCCAAACAACTAAGGAAAATAGTATCGGTATAAATATTACTGTGACAAGATGCAAACTATTGTCTAAGATTCGTATGAGTATGTAGTTTAAGAAAATATAAATAACATATGCGTAATTTGCCGGGTTTCAGAGAAATAGAGGGGGGATTTACATAGTCCCCCGTTGTAAGTTAAAATATGAAACTTATTATTTAGCATGCAATTCATAGGAAGATTAAGATCTAATTAGAATACAAAAGATGTGCACTATGCAATTAAAATACTAAGTTACTAAAAGTAACAATTATCTACTCCATTAGGAGTGAATTAAATACCTACCTAATATTTTGCTATGTTAACTGTAGAGGGGAAACCTACAGACTACAGTTGCATATAATTAGGCACAATTAAATAACTACTCAAGTTGATCAAAACAGAAGCTTTATTTAGAGAAAGAATAAGGAACACAAAAAAAAGAACAGACATGGCCAGCACGATCGGAGTGATACCACTGCCTCACAGAAAAATAAATGTTTGTCGTTGCTCCTTACCAAGTGAGTGAGGTAACCGGAGCCCAAAGCCCCTGATCCTGTGTGGAAAGATCAACAATTCAAAGAGGCTGCCCTTTGAATAGTCGATGCCTCCCTACTATGCAAATATTCTCTGTACACAGGTTTGTCCTCAAGGGCAGTGCGAAACTTGTTAACAAGAGCACAACCTATTCTGAAATTCTCCATAAGATGTTTTGCAGCTCTATTAAAAAAAACCTGTCTAAATAATTTGAAATCCTGTTTCAATCTGCCGTTTACTACCTCAACCACCCATCTACGCATTGTGACACATCGTGATTTGTTAGCTTGCTCCGTGGTAAGCTGACGGTGGCCTTCTAATAAGGATTCAGGTAGATGAGTTTGATAACCATACTCTTGTAATTGAGCCACCACATCTCTAAAGCCTCTGTCAAGAATAAAGACGTCTCCTTCTCGAAAATATTGTCGCATAGGCTCATAAGACCTGGTAAATTCTGTGCTCATAATTGTAGCATCATTGGTGGTTGCTTTATATGGCCCCAAGCAATCTAAAATATGACCATTACAGCACACAATCATAAATGGTTTCACCAGGTTAGTATATTTATGCAAACTGTAAGTTTGCTTTTGGAATAAATAATTGCTACTACTCTGCACATAAACATATGTAGCATCACATATGGTGATTGCTGGTTTGGTTTCGACAGGCATTGTTGGGTTTCCGTAAAAACCTTCAGGAATCACCATACTGGTTCTTGCTACTTCTTGAACAGTCATGTGACTGAGACCCAAATAGTGAGGAACTAAATGTAATGTCGTAACATCTCGCACTTTATTCATCTGACGCAGAGGCGGCCTTTGGGGGTGGCGAGCAGGGCAACCGCCCAGGGCCTCGCTCATGCAGGAGCCTTTTGCACTCGCGACAAGTAGAAATAGTGCTTTACGCCTTGCAGTCTAAAACTCATATTGACAACCTGTTAGTGGCAACTGTCTTCAGTTTGTGCTTTTATGTTCGAGCAGCAGTATGTGTTGCAGTGCATTTTTTTGTTTCAAGTATCAGCATTGAAACTAATTCCACAAAGACAAGGGCCTCGCAATGATCTACCAGCGCGAGGCCTCGCAATGTTCTACCCACCCCGGGCCTCGCAACGGCTAAAGCCGCCACTGATCTGACGTTCAAGTGTACTTCGTGGCATATTAAAAAAACCACACAACCTCTCATAACTGTCTCCACTTCTTAATTTGGTTAAATAAATGCACAATGCTACACTAGCATCTGGCACTTTGTCATGTAATTGTGGTATATTGTTCAGTAATTCATAAAATTGAATAGCATTCAGACCAATCCAGTAATAACATAAGTTAGGTTGAATCACGTGGACATTACTAAAATTAATTTGCTTTGTTGACAGTCTTTCCAACATAGCCAGTAGGTTATCCATTTGAGCACCAGTGAAATCAGAATAATTTACTTGTAATTCATCCCAGCAATCATTGTGTAAATGAAAGTTACAGATCCGAGCACTTTGAGGAATTTAAATTCGATAGCGACTTAAGACTTCTTCTTTCAATGCTCTAGGTATTAACAAACGTTCTATATTGCCACAGTTAGAAAAAACACAATGCCTTGTTGAAACGGCTACACGTTTATAGGTCTGTGATATTATTTTTGGCCCTTGTTGCCTTCTTTGAGGCTGGTATAGGTTGTGCTGAGGTAATGGTGGTGGATTATGAATATGTACAGCATTATCTTCCTCATCAGGCACAGGTACATCATTATTATGTACAGGTACTTCCACATCAGGTACAACAAGTTCCATAGTAAGTACAGGTCCATCAGCATTTGGTGCAAGAAATTCAGCACTGGGTACAGGTACTTGAGAGTTCTCAACTACAGGCTCATCTTCAGCATGCATTATATGATTAGCAACATGTTGCAATTGCCGTTGTATGGTTCTTTTCGCTGCCATCCAACATGCTCCGCATACTCTATCCAAACACCGCATCTGGACAAGAAAGATTAATAGTTAGAGATGGTTTTAAGTTACAGTTATGATTATTCTCCTATGAAATATATAATAAAAATTGAACATCTATTATTGAGTAATTTAATTTTTATTTATTTGAAACAAAATGATATACATTAAGTTTTGATTCTACAATTAAATCAAAGATTATAATGTATTTTATTGCAGAGGGTAGGTGTCCTTATGCTTACAAGAGGTATTTGTCATGAACAACAGATGGGATGCAAACAAAACTAGTTACATAAACTGTTAATCATTTGATTTGTTTACATACCAGGTGTGGAGATATCCGATTAAGAATAATATTCCTTTCTTCAACTTCAATGATTGCCAACTTCCATGCTGCAGTCGAAGGGAACAGTTAATGCACCGACGAACGGAACACGAACTTTCCGTTATGGTTTTAATGGAGTCTCTATCTCACTTTCACAATCAGTTTTTACAAAGAGTTTCTGCCTTACAGTTAGTACAAAAAATATAGTCTTTTTCTCAAAATACGTGTAGTTACTACAATGAATCACAATAACACACACGGAAAAATTACAAATTCAAACAACGCTGAACTGTTTGACAACAAACAATAATCATACAGCTACAGTGTTGCCATAATTATAAAAACTATATTGATTGAGATTAAAAATCGAAATCGACCACATACGAGTTTGTATTCGGTGCAATGAGTTAAAAGAAATATGATTTCTTTGATTATTAAATCTGAAAAATAAAGACAAGTATCGATTCCCAATAAACATAATGCCAATTGCTTCCTCAGTTTATGATATTACGGTTTCATACACCTAGTTTAAAAGCTAATATTTAATTTGTAGTTTCGAATCAATGACAAAAAAAGTTTATTTTCATAAATTATATTCTTTTAATTAGCATTAAAGTATTATCATGTTATTATTAAATAATTACGATTGATTCATGTTTAAACAACTGGTTATTTTATTTTAAAAAATCGATTTAATGTAATTATTTGTGAAATGATGTTACCACTACAAAAAATCCCCAACGAAAAATTGAACGACTGATAAATAATAATTAATATATAAATAAAACAACTAATATTTCATGTTCATTTATCCGGCAAATGTGAGACGCCACATTAGGTTATAAAATCATCATAAATATAAACAAAAATTATCACTATCACGAACTTGTGTCACAGTTTAAATAATAATCATCAAGCGATACCACATATGGGCATTCCCCTTTTCTCACCTTAATACAGTTTCAGTTGACACTGGACACAGATGTAAACAGTTTTGTTTCGCAGACTGTGACGTCATTCAAGACGCCATGACACTATTCTGCGTTTTCAAGGAAATTTAAATTGTTTTTTAATACAAAATACGTAATGTAAATATTGCTTTTTCTTTAAAATATAAGTTTTTTTGGGATAAAATAGATATTAAAGTATATAATTAACCAACTTTTTTAAATTGAGTCAACTAGCCTATTGTGAGAAGGGACGGAAGCGTATAACAAGAAGCCTTTGATGGACCGATGGGGTCGGCGCCTGGCGATGATCGAAGTCGACCGTCAGACGGTAGAGATGATGTCAGACGCTACACATAATGCTTTGACATAAGTTATTGTAAAACTTGCTCGTTTTTAAGTGAATCCCCGCAGATTAATCGCGTTTCATACATATTGGAACGAAGTTCCTTATCGCGCGTTGTGAAAGGGGCTAGATGGAAAAAAATCTCACGAAAAGTTGTAACGACACTTTTTTATGTCAGTCATTCAGCGCCATCTATCGAATAGATAGGAAATCATTACTTTTCATCTCAGTATTTATTTTGAATTGTCACTTCTCAGTCATTCAGCGCCATCTTTCGAATAGATAGGAAATCATTTCTCAATGAGGTTTTATTAATTAGAAACCAACTGAAAAATATGTAGGTAATAACCGCTCTCATAGATGGCGTTGTAATTAAAATCGTGTCGAATCAGTTTTACTCGATCGTCACAACTTCGATCCTATCGGGTGTCCCACGACACCACACGGCATTAAGTTTTTTTCTACTTGTCAGCAGCGATATTTATACTGTCCATCTGGCAAAGATGTACTCTTTAAAATACCTAGACGGTCAGTCTCGTATTAGGACAGAGTAACAAAAGAAGTGAATAAGGCCACCGAATAAAGTACGCAAGTGAGTCACATCCGAGCGTTGTCTGCAGGCGGGTACGAGGCCGTGGCGGCGAGCCCGCAGGCGGGCGGCGGCACGCACGACTTCAAGATCACCCTGGGCCGAGCGCCCCGCGCCCCCGCCCCGCCCAGCGTCACCTCCACCAACCCCAAGACGCCCAGCCCCAGCCTCAACGTGAGTACCGGACCCTTGCTCAGCAGGCTCTTGTCTCGCGATCACTGGTTTTTCATTATTAATCGATCGACTATTATCCACTTCGTACATGAGATGTGTGAGTGATATCGCACGATCCATCGAACACGCTCACCTAAATAATGTGTTAGAAGGACACCCGTTCCTCCACATATTTTTCAAAAACTTTAAATATTGTACAAACCAATAACGCTCATACAACTATTTTAGTTTATTTTTATACAATAGCACTTAATCATTTCTTTCAGTCGTAACAACAGCTCGGTCCCGCGTGCCATTGTCAATATTTTATAATATAACGTAAGACCTAAATGACGAAACATAGTCTAAACTTTTATTCACAAATAAAAATAACTCTGTCTTGAACATAATACTGGTTCGGTGTGACCCATTTACCTACAACCATAACTACTGACGATCGGGGTACCGTTAACTACGACATAACTCCAACAAATATTGTGACGAAAACTACGATGATGAATGATATTAAAGGCTCATTTCGGCATATAATATGTTTATTAATAAATAATATAAAACTTTTTTTAACTCGTTATAAAATTTTACTTTACATTCAAAAGTTACAAGCGTTCATGGGCGGCGGTAGTCGCTTTCCATCAGGTGACCCGGCTGCTCGTTTGCCCTCTATTCCATAAAAAAAAGTAGTCCAGACTAGAAGGCCTCTAGCTTTGTTCCCTGGTCGGTGGCAGGGCGCGACGGTCCCCGGCGAGCTGGACAAGGTGTGCGCGGCGTCGGTGCAGGATCTGATGGCCACCATCGCCAAGCTGGACTCGAACGGCGTGCAGGTGGTGGCGGAGGCGCCGTCGCCCGCGCCGCACGTGCACTCGTCCACGGGCGGCGACTCGGACGCGCCCAAGCCCGGCCCCGGGGACCCCAACGAGGACTGGTGCGCCGTGTGCATGGACGGCGGCGAGCTCATGTGCTGCGACAAGTGTCCCAAGGTCTTCCACCAGTACTGCCACATACCCACCATCGAGAAGCTGCCCGAGTGAGTCCACCTCGCCGCTCTAACCTATCATTTTGAATCTTAACTACGAGTTTATAAAAAAAAATATAGTTTTAAAAAACTAAAAAATACGCTTTCTATAGAAAACCGAACTAAAAAAATAGAAAATAAATTTTAAAAAAAGCGTGGGGTGCTTTTTACTATTGACAACAGGCATTCAACGCTTTTTTTCAATTTTTTTTTTTTTCAATATTTTTTAGTTCGGTTTTCTATAGAAAGCGTATTTTTTAGTTTTTTAAAACTATAATTTTTCGAGTTTTTTAAAACTATTTTTTTTAAATTAGTGTATTGTCATCGGTCCTCGATATATCTACAAAGTTTAAACGAATTCTGACAGTTTAAAGTCAGTCAAAATCACGCCCAAAGGAGTCGGTTACAAACATACAAACAAACATACAAGTGAAATTAAAGTAAGTACAAGTGAATTAAGTACATTAATGCTCAATGCGTGTGTCGTTGTGCGCAGTGAGACAGAAACGTGGCAATGCCTGCTGTGCGTGAACTTCGCGGAGCTGCCCCCTCCCAGCGCAGAAGAGGAGGCCGCCGCGGCGGAGGGGGGATGTCTCCCGCCCCGAATACAGAAGCTGGTGGAGCGCATCACTCTGGAGCTGTACTGCCAGTACGAGCCTAGCCTGCCCTTCCGCGAGCCCGTGCCCCAAGAGAACCTGCACTACCACTCCAAGGTACGACCCGCCGCTCTACTGCCTATTATGATGTTTAATTCTTTGCGGTAGACCTTGATTTAATTACTACTAAACGTAGTCGTGAGAGGTACCCAGTGGAGTCGAGGTGTAACGTAGCGGTGTGTGGTGTGCGCAGATCTCGCGGCCGATGTGCCTGGACATGATCCGCATGAAGCTGCAGCCTCGCGCACCGCAGCGCTACTCGCACGTGGCGCAGTTCGTGGCCGACTGCCGCCTGCTCTTCCGCAACGCCTACAGGTTCAACCCGGTGAGTGTGTGGGCCCGCTAATCCTCCTGACGATCGACTTCGGTCTGTCCGTCTTGGAGAGATCCTCCATGACCGAGCCCCGTCGGATCGGCGATATGGACCACGCGACATAAACTTTATGATTTTCCAGGTGGACAGTCCGTTCTACAAGGACGCTAAGCGGCTCGAGGAATTTTTCGACTCGCAGCTGCTGAAGTGGCTGCCCGAGTACGCCTACTGGACCGGCGAAGGTGAGCCGCCCAACAAGCGCGCGCGCCTCGACTGACCCTCGGCCTCCGCGGGGCCCGCCGCCCCCGAGGGCCCCGCCGCCCCCGAGGAGCCCCCCGCCGCCCCGCACGTGCCGGTGCACAGCTTCGTCATGACGCCGCGCTACATGCCGCACTAGCCACGTCTGTGCACCACGATCCGACCATCCCTCGCTCCGTGGAAAGAGATTTCATACACTGGAGAACCTTCCCCGGCTGGCTCCGTGGATGCGGAATTCGACGTGAAGACGGCTTCATTGAGAAACATAAAAGTTAAAGGATATCGACTCTACCGTAAAATTCCCACAAACATTTTCACAGTTAAGAAGGATTTAGAAGTGATTACTGATTTGAAATAAATTAAATAAAAAGGACCGACGCTCGATCGTCTCGACACGTGCCAAACGTTGTATGCTAGCTACCAGCGCTAGAAACGTCGGTATTATAATCCATTCGGTGAGTGAATGATATCTCACAGAGCCGTTGGCGCCACCGTTACACTATTGAGACGCTCTTGTTCTAACACTCAGTGCGGGACAGTTCACTCGTTGTAATAAGTGCTAAGTGACTACTTAGGTTATGTTATAGTATACGGCTCGGATATAATTTTTCTTTTTAATCTCATACATTTAAAATTGTGTCCGAAATAAATTTGTACATAGTTTATCGATTCTAATACTGAATAAGTTGTTTTCTAATGTTGAAAGTTCCTTTACGTCGCTGTGGTGAGGGTCGTGGAGATCCCCTCCACCCTCTACCTGCGACTGAGCGCCCTGTACCCTGTGTATTGTGTGCGGCTGGCCCCCGCTTCTCGGAAACAGTATAGCTATAATTCGCCACCACTTTAAATGTGCATATTGAAACTGATACTAAATATAGCTCGACCCAAATGACTTGCACACAAGTGTGGAGCGGCGCGGGCCCGCGGAGGCTGCTTACGTTATTACTCCGTTTCAGTTATTGCTACTTAAGTATACGTTGAGGAAATTCGATCTAAGAGAACCATCAACTCCTGTCACTGTGCAACTCACCGAGTCTCACCTCGAGGTCAATGTTTCCTTCGCGTACACATGTTTAGTGTAATTGTTAGATACTGCCTTTATAACGTTATTGTTAGCGGTGAATCTGACAGCGAGGACTATTGCATCACTTGTGTGTTGTGGAGTAGCTGGAATAATCATTGTTACGTGAACAGTGACCACATATTTGCGCTGACACTACTTGGAATTCACGGATGTATGGCAATGCAAGCATTAAATACTCAAACAAAACTTCCTACTATTTTAGTATAATAGTACACAGTGTATGTAAACACCTTTAATCTGCTAATGAGCTGCTATAGAAAGAATATTTTTAGTGTATCTAGACAATTATTAAATTATTTGCCAATATAAGCTAACAAATCTCAAATGCCATTACAATTTTTGACACTATAAGCAAAAAAATACAAATGCTATACAAGAGTTGTACACTAATTAATATCCCCCAAACCTTGTGTATCAGCTGAAGGAGAGGTGGGGGCTTATCCTCGCATAACAAACGCTGGTTCCTTCGCGGTCAGTGCTGTATAATTGTGAACGTTCCTAACGTTAACATGAAAATGTATATGTTGAATACTAAACCTTTATATTGTCATGTAATACATTAAGCTCGTTTATATTTCAATATAAGTATTTTTATAATTAGATACACTATTTTAATAAACATTCGTGACCCAGGCCGGTCATGTCCTGGAATTTAATAGTTGTGATGTTACAATACAAACTTTTTCTTTGTAGTTCAAATTCATATTTATTAAATGTATACGGATTTACTCGCCAATAATATAATAAATACACGCGTGAGTAAAGCCGTATATATTTAAAAAGCTCGCCGCTCGCAGGCACAGGCCCGACTTATTGGAGTATAATGTTTTAATTTATTTCTCTGTTATGGGAACGTAATTTCAAAGCTATTTAAATATTACAAAAAAAAACTTTTAATATCGCTAATAATATTAATCTGCAAATTTGGAATCATTTCATATTATTCTAAAGGACAGAAAACAACCGCTTAGTGATGTGCCAGATATTCAAGCTTAAAAACTTACAAGATCTTTTACATTCAAATTGTAAATTTATTTTGTAAATGTTAGATATTGAAATGTATGTGTAACACTGTGAGCTACTAATACTATGCACATGTACAGTTAACAGCTAAGGTAATATTGACTATTTTTGTAACAAGAACAAACCCCAAATATTTTTAATATGTGTGCTAAATTAATCATCTAAAAAGCTCGCGCAGTGCAAGTTATTTAATTTTGAACGTCGACTGTCGTTTCAAGACCCGTATCCGCGGATATACCTTCCTAATGATGTGGCACATCACTAATGATAATCTATCGTCCTCTCAAGTGTGTGTTCGTAGAGTGTAATCGTGAAATGTGACTACCGGCGAGGCTTTTGGACTGTTTTCCATGTTCTGACGATAGTCTCGCTATTGAAATGGAGCCAGTTAAACAAAACTAAGTAGTTTTAAAAAGCATTTTAGCCAGTTACCGTTTGAATGTGTTGTAAAAGATTTGATTTCAAATGTTATAAATTGCGAGTAGTTCCGTTACAGGTCAAAACTCGCGGCTCCAGAGGTACGGGTCGAGTGCTCTAAGAAATATTTTATCGGTGTACACAAATATTATTGTTATAGTTATGTAACTTAGTTGTTACAATAAAGACTTAGCATCTCTAAGCTATCGATAATCTCCCGATAAGTATTACTGAACTAGAAATAAATGACATTTATTGGCCCTTGTGTTTTTTGTACTCCCCACATCGCGTTTTGTGTCGCGGCAACACTGAGCGCCGGCTGTCAGTTGGCCGCGCCGCTTCACGCGTGACACATTGTCGTGTGAGAGCTAAACGTCAAACGGCGTTTGATAACAGTTATCAGTAAGGATAGAGTCGAAAGCGTGCAGTGGGCGGCTGTATTTTGTTGTTGGTGCACCGTCAACTCGCCGCTCGACGTATTTGTACGAGTACAGGCCGTATTCGGACCACCGGTGGACACGACAAAAGACAGCTGTGTGACCTCGACTAGCGTGAAGGTGAGTGACCTCAACCGCAGGTTGTTGACACATTTGCATTACTTTGCAAAGCAGAAAATGTTATAATATAAAATTATTGCAAACGAGTCGATCTTAGTATAAATAACAATGGAACGAACTGGAGACCGAACATCGTTTTACTCAAAACAATTTGCTGCGAGCGCTTTTTAGTTTAGATTTCCAAATGTCAATATTATAGTCAAGGAAAACTGGTTTCGATTCATTAGCGAACAAGAAATACAGAAGTAATTGTTTATAGATCTGCACGACAGGGGTCAGAACGCAGGATACGTGCCAAGGTTAAAACCGCAGTTAAACCAGCTAAGCTCTGGTGAATGTATACAATTCTTTTTTAAATTATATATTATAATTCTGCTTCTCTCGGGTACACTATAGTTTTCTGTTTCAAAGGACCTTATTGTTTATGTATTGTGTGGAAAATTTGGTGTTGGTCGTTCGAGTTGCATGAAAGCGTAGCCATCAATAAACTTATTTTCGAATTTATAATTAGTTGGACGCGCACCTCTGTCCATTAGGTCGTTATGATGTCGTTGTAGGACTCGGGCACAACTACTTGGTAACAAAAAATCTGCCACGTTAGTAGCCAAGGACATCAAAGTTTTGTTGTGTCATGTTCTTGGATGAGCATGGTGCTGGGGCAGCCTTTTTCAGACGCGCTGAAAACTAAAGAAATGTAAAATATACTTTGTGACTAAAGTTTTCTGCAAAATAACTTCTTTCTAACTTTTTCTTAAACAGAGACATTTCCTTTGTTTGAACGTGTTCAGAAACGAGCTATTAAAATACACGCATACCAGAGAAAAATAATTCATAAGTGGTTAAAGTAACTCTCTTTCTGTCTGTGAACCTGCATTGTTGACTCTTCTGAATGAATGTCTAAATCAGGTCGTGTTTATAAGTTTGATTGATATCGCAAAGGGCAAACGATGCATAACAGCAGCCTGTTTACCTCCCACTTTTCTCTTATAGCCCTAAATTATATAAGGATACATAGTCCGGTTTATCTGCCGTGCCAATCCAAAACACTAACTTTAGAAAACGACTTTTGATTTTGTAAGCTTTGTTACAGTTTTTTACCTTGTTAAAACCCAATACAGTATTTTAGATTATTGTCTCTTCTAAAATACACTAGAATAACAAAAGTGTTGATCAGGGGTACTAAATCGACGTAAAGAAACTGATTGAGCGTTGTTAAGGCAAGACACTAAGTGGAGTTACAGTCTGTTGGAATGCCACGGCAGCTATAGCGCTGCACGTCATACCAGTGCGGATGGCCTCATGCTCTTGACAACGTTAAGTTCTCGCTGATGAAACCGATATTATCCGCAACTGGCCATGATATGCTCTCGTAGTTTGTCTTATTGTCAGCGTTCTATTGGCACTTACTGCAACGAGAAGTGTCCTATCTGATAATGGCCACTTAATTTATGATGTTGTGGTCAGGCCGGCGATGTTTACATTGATATCTGGAGCGACGACACGTTATCTTCTCCGCGGCAGAAGTGCCAATGGCACTCAGTCGCGTTGTGCAATTGTTTAAGAGTTTCATGTACGAGTACAAGTTCTCACGTCTAATTTTACATTTTCCAAACAACCTCCTTCCTACTTAATCTCTATATATTGTAATAGTCTTGCTTCTATTTCGCGGATCCCTTCTAGCGTAAGATTTAGTCGGTTTGATTCGATGGAGGGACGGCCAGGGGGCGGGTTCGGCTTTTTGAGACATGGTTCATTGGTATCTATATTATTAATTATTATAATATCTCTCATTTGTCCGTGTGGTGACGGATTAAGAATAAGGAGGAATTATTCCTTGGGTGTCGTAAGAGACGACTTAGGGCGCAAAACTACGCAGGACAACAGCACTGCAAAGAGAAGGAAAACTTGAAAGAAACTCTATACCAACCCGTCTGGCCAGCGTGGTATAGTAGACCATAACCTCCTTTCTAAGGAGAGGCCTATGTTATGTGTATACGTGGACTGTTAAAAGCTGTTGATGATGATAATGATGATATTGTTTAAGGTAAACTAACATGACAAATAAAACAACTATCGTTAACTGCTTGAGTGTATGTACTTAATATAAACGAATTCGGGGAACCAGGATCAGTGACACATCGAGAATGCGTCTGATAATTCTGGAGGACACTGCGGTGGTGGCGGACTGGGCAGCACGGTTCGTGCTGCAGCGCATCACACAGTTCGCGCCGGGGCCCGGGCGACACTTTGTGCTGGGCCTGCCCACCGGCGGCACGCCATTAGGCATGTACCGGCGACTCATCGAGTTCTACAAGGAGGGCAGGATCTCCTTCAAATACGTCACCACGTTCAACATGGACGAGTATGTCGGTAAGTAGAGAATAGAACTCCATGTTGAAAGGTCTTTCAGAAGAGGATAGATACACAGCCTTTTACTTCTCAGTACCCACTTTACAACTTGGTACCATTAGATTACACATTTCAAGGTTTGTATTTTAATGTAAGTACTAATTACCCGCCGTTCAGCCGTTTTGTAACTACGATATCACAGATTAACACAGATAGGTACACCCGTTCATGGCTCTGTGCAAATCGGGGGTAAAATTGGGTTGTGTCAAGTAAACCATTGAGGTGACATTAGACACTGTTGAGTGCGAGTGTCATTATCAATTTATCAATATAAACAACAAACAAAGGGATAAAGGTAAATAATTCCAACATTATACCTATTGTTGTTACGATAAAATCGCTAAATACCGGCCACCTTAATACTTTATGTAGGTACTTTGGAAATGTTAGAGTTATGTAAATACATAAGTTAAAATCCAGCGGGGACGGTTTCCGGCAACCTTAACCAGGTCGTCCGCAATCAACCGTCCCCGCTGGAAATCATTGGGAGAGACCTATGTCCAGCAGTGGGCAAGCATAGGCTGAGGTGGTGATGATGATGTAAATACATATGTATGTGTTTTAATTCTTCAGTTAATTCATTCATATCTTATTTAATATTAATTCTTATCATATATTTATTCATTAGATCAGTGTCTATTATGTTTTTGCTGACTTGACTCATTTGCCTTCTATCGGCTTTATATCCCACTGTCTAATAGTATTACTGTGCTCTGTGCATGCCACAAACAAGGCACTTTTAACTGTCTTATACCGGCTTATCTTTAGTAGTAGTAGTTGGACCCTAATATTATAAATAAGTAATGAAACACTAGCTGCTGTTTGCGATAAAAAAATAACCTAATCGGATATCGTTGTAATCCTTTCATAAACCTTAATCCTATTTATTGTGCTTTACGCAAATCCGTCGATCACATTAAGGCAGCTCAAGATGCTTCAAATTTAATACTATAAATGGAGTTACATTATTAAGTTTGTTATTACCAAGACCTCCTTTCTAAGGAGAGGCCTATGTCCAGCAGTGGACTATTATAGGCTGTTGATGATGATGATTATAAAAAAACTGGCGCTACGAGTAGGTATTGCCGACTGCGGGTATAAGACCTCCGGGCATGTGTACAGGCCGCACGGAGGTCCACTAACTCCTCGGACCATCAGTGGACCTCCTTCATGCAGGTGGATAGCCGCATCTTAAATCTGCGTATTCGCATCACGAAAGCGACCAGCCCCCATGTCGACCTCTTCAGTCGGAGCCTGCAGAGACATCCAAGAGTGAATAATGGCTGCCTCCTTTAGTAGGTCCCTGTTCGCAACCGCCCACCGCGGAAAACGTAGAGAACGTCATCTGGGGTCCTGGGTCCGGGAGAGCTCAAATCTGATATTAAGGTGATCCGAGAGCGTCTCAACCTCTAACAGAACACGCCAGTTCCTTACTCGTGCGGCGAGGGCAGGGGTAGCGAACGAAAGGTCCACTATCGACTCCCCCTGCTGTCACACGAACGTGTTGGTGGAGCCTCTGTTTAGAAGATAGAGGCCCACCGAGGCCTCCCACCCGTGAGCTCGCCCTAGCCTAGCTGTAGCTCGTCATTGACGCTATTAGATACAGAAGAATTTATTAATGTTATAAATACGTATATATCTCGAAGACTGTTGGTGTTGCCGACCATCAAAAATCCTATCTTGACTGTAATTTTATTTTCCATATCCTCCCTAAGTATATATCCCTATATCTCTAAAATAGATATGGAAGAGTCACTGTTTAGTAACTGGCACTGCTGGCACACAATCATATTCGATACTTAATTATAACTACTATTGCCGCATAGAAATTAAATTGAAGCTAGTTAAAATAAAAAGAACCGGGCTAACTTGAGGGATAGTTAGCCGCTATATTCTGCCTTTACCGTTTTTTACTTTTAATAGATACAATATAATTATCATATGATTCCCAACCTCCTCGGGCTGGCGTATATTACATAAAATGAATAATAACTATACGATACAAATTCTATGTAGAGTAGGTACTAATTAACTAAGAAAATAGGCAATTATATAATAATAACTATTTGGATCCATTCGTTGTGTATAAATGTTTAAAAAATGTATCACTATTATAAGTATTTTTGTTCGGTAACGAGATTCAGTGGGAAGGTACAGTTATCACAGATTCAGATGAGTTATTGTATCAGGTCTGCCGCGCGACCACCCTGAGTCCTACCACTACTACATGTGGAACGAGTTCTTCAAGCACGTTGATATTGATCCCGCCAACGCACACGTACTGGACGGCAACGCGACCGACCTCGTCGCCGAGTGCACGCGCTTCGAGGAACTGATCAAGCAGGCCGGCGGCGTGCACCTGTTCATCGGAGGTATTGGGCCTGACGGACACATCGCCTTCAACGAGCCGGGCTCCTCGCTCGTCTCGCGCACCAGGGTCAAGACCCTGGCTTACGACACGCTGGAGGCCAACAAGCGTTTCTTTGGTAATGACATCAGCAAAGTGCCGCGGCAAGCGCTAACCGTCGGGGTCGGCACCGTCATGGACGCAAAAGAGGTATGGTTGCGTACACAGTTGGTACGATGTCATTCACTACATTATAGTTTATGTAAAAGAATCTGACTGGCGTTTGGCATTAGTCTCAAAAATGAACGAGTCCCGTAAGGAATGTGTCTGTGGCTGCAGGTCATGATCTTAATCACGGGCGTGCACAAGTCGCTGGCGCTGGCCAAGGCGGTGGAGGAGGGTGTGAACCACATGTGGACAGTGTCCGCCTTCCAGCAGCACCCGCAGACGCTTTTCGTTTGCGACGAGGACGCCACGCTCGAGCTGCGAGTCAAGACCGTTAAGTATTTCAAGGTGAGCGATCGTTGAATATTGCGCACAACACTAAGTTTAAAGCGATGGTTACTCTGATCCTCCAGGCGAGATTGATTTATTGCCGTTGATATTCTACACGAAGATGTGGACCAACCCGCGGAGAATTTCTTATCATTCGGATGACATCCACACGGCTGTTTCGTCAACCGCAACTCAGAGAAACCAGCGCCTAGCAGATCTAAAAAAAATCATTTCCATACTCTTGTTCTTGGCTTCATTCCTTCATGATCACGATCACCGCGATGTAAAACTTAGATAGGTACTTACTAACATGTAAAAGGATAGCAATACATACTTACATTCAAATTAAAAACATATTTATTTATTGGACAGCCAGTAGTTGTTACATTACGAGTATTTACTAAAATCTAAAGCATGCATCTATATTAAGATTAATGCACAACAGTTTAAGGTGTCACAACATGTATAATGGAGTAACACTATGTAAAACTAAAATTAGAAAAACATCTATATGATTTTAACACTTAATTGAACAAATATAAAACAAAGAATAAAATATAAAAATATATTAAACAAACAATTAACAAGCTTATTACTATTATATGATTTTAACTTTAACTACCTAAGAGACCACTTGAATCATTTGCTAAGCCTAACTAACCTCATAGCAACTTTTTTTAATTTTGGGAATGCCTCGGCGAATATGTCTACCTCTCCACAAATGGCATTGTATGCTTTGGACAAACGAAATAGCGTTGAGAATTGTTTTAGATTGGTTCTACACAACATACATACTAATACTTATTAATTCGAAACATAATTTTTCTTTCTTTTATAAAACAACAAATGTCGTGACTGAATGTGTAAAAGATACGAAGTTTAATGATGAGCAGGTACTTGGCGACTACCAGTCCCTGCATTTGTTGAAATGTCTCCTATGGAGACAGCATGGCTTGACTGGAGGTGGTGCATGTGGTACTTGGGCCACTACTGCTTACATATTAACCAAACTGTTTTTTTATGCTGCCAGTAAAAGTTGGCCAGGAGTGAAAACTGTTGCTTTTTTTAAAACTACATTTCTACTAAGTATATAAATATCTCTCTGGTTGCCGTCGCCTTATCCTTGACCGTAGGGTAAACCAAGGTCAAGGATTAGTCGACGGCGGCGTGTAGATTGTTATAAATACCTACACATTCTCGTACAAAACTCGCGTCAAATCGCAGCAGTTGATTCTATAATAACTAAGTACTCTATCATTTATCCCCATAAATGCACCTACCTCATTCTTTCTCTGCATCGCCCAATCGATCGACTGGCCGAGAATGCCTTAGGCATTATGTCCGCCAATGTACATATTTGTGTATAAAGTCATAAATAAATAAATAACAAACCACACCGTACGATCAACGATCCTGTGACGGTATGTTGTAACAGCTTCAAACAATCATTATCGTGGGAGAGCCATGGTTCGGCACAAATGGGCCAGGCTCGACCGGAGTGATACCACGGCCTCACCGAGTGACTTACCGGAGACCAAACCGCCGTTCCCCCCCTTATTCTGGGCGGTTCACAGTTCTGTTGGTGCCATTTTTGAGCCCTTATTTTATAATGCTCATTAAGAATAAAACTAAATAAACTTTACATACTACAATATTTGTTCAGTTATAAGCATGCCTAAAGGAGCAACGGTTTTCAAACTAACCTTGGTACCCACTTGTTGGCATATGTAATGAGAAAACTAACAGCTCTAAGCTCGGTGTGGGGTATTAAACGAGCTGCGCCAGTCGCCCCGAGGTCTGAGCGTGTGTCGTGTTCAGGCGCTGAGCGACGAGCACCAGAAGATGATCGAGGACGTGCCGGTCGAGGAGCAGCGCGTCATTCACTAGCGCGCCGCCCCCGCGTACACTCCACCACACCTCCAATAGCTATGCGACCCATACCTACTATTTATATTCTCAGATATTTGTGGTTAATAATTACAACTGCTATAATTGTGTTGTAACCCTACATCGATTCATCTCGCCTGTCATATTCATCTCATACTTCCCGTCCCCTAGAAGTATGTATATATTAATGAAACACCATCGTGATAGCTACGTGTATCACGCCGCGGGGCCAGCTCGTGGCGGCTAGACCTCGCTCGTAGGTATAGAGTAGAGATGTGATGTGGGTGACGCTGGTGGGTGTGTTGCAGAGCCTCATGACGGAGCACAACAAGCTGATCGCGCCGGCGCTGGCGCCGCCCCCGAGCTAGGAGCTAAGGGCTACCCTTACCCGCGATCTCATCGCGCGAACTATTTTTGTTTTGTTTTATAAATTGTAATTATAAATAGGTACTTATATCATAATGTATGTGTAATGTAAAACTTTATAAATATTTTATGTATTATGATAGTTTTATTTTCCTTCTGCTTTAAAAGTAATACACTTACATTTAGACAGATTTGAAATAATTATAAGTATCGCCTTTGTTCGTAAGGCAGCCCCGGATCTAAAGTTTCGGGGAGCGCCAAAATCATAATATATGGTTTAAAATGAAAATATTTTTACCTCCCAATCACGAAAAATGCCAACCATCATAATAATATTATTTTACTACTTCTACTATTCCGTGTGGTGACGGGTTAAGAATACCACCAGTCACTACCCCGTCATCCACTGGGTGTCGTGAGTGCCGACTAAGGGAGCCAAACTACGCAGGACAACAACACTGCCAAGAGAAGTAAAACTTGAAACAAACCCTATACCAACCCGTCTGGCCAGCGTGGTATAGTAGGCCAAAACCTTCTTTCTATGGAGAGGCCAATGTCCAGCAGTGGACTAGTAAAAGCTGTTGATGAAAATCATAATAATATTATATTTAAGTTTTTTTAAGTTATTTACGCTGGAGAGAGGGACTATTATCATGTATCTGGCCCGATTCGAAAAAATCGTAGATCCGGGACTGTCGTAAGGGAATTTTCCTAAGTACAATAGGTCCCCAATCTGTGGAACGGATTATCGTCCGCGGTATTTCCGTCCGGAAATACGACCGATGCGACCTTCAAGAAAAGAGCGTACTCCTTCCTAAAAGGCAGGCAACGCGCTTGTGACTCTTGAGTTGCAGACGTTCATGGGCAGCGATGGTCACTTTCACGTTAAAAAAGTTGCAAGTTGTGAAACATTGAAATAGAAAACATTGTTTTTCATTGGGTACGAGAATACGCGATGTCAGTTGATTAATGATTATGGCCGAGTGTTTCACAGCCAGATTATTTTGGATCTATATTCCGCAGAATTTTGCAATGGAAACCATTGACATAACAAAGTATTAGTTTTCAAACTCAAACCCAAAATACCTTTTCTTCATAAAAAAAAAACTTGAAATCGTCTTTTACGTAGAACAATTTTGAATTTTGTGTGTCCAAGGACACACAAAATACAAAATTGTTTCGATGTTTGCCAGTATGTCCTTTATTTTTCTTATGTTAGAGGGGGCAGACGATCAGACGGGTCACCTGATGGAAAGTGACCATCGCCGCCCCTGAACGTCTGCAGCTCAGGAGTCACAAACGCGTTGCCGGTCTTTAAAGTTGAGGACTATAAGCTGAAAAGGCTAAGAGAAAACAAGATAAAGGAAAAGTTGGAATAGAAATGAAAGTAAAACATAAAATAATGGACAAAATAAATAAAAAACACAAATGTGGTGTAGGCTAGCACACCGCATTAGGTACCACTTAAGAATCCTGTGTTAAATTAATCCCAAGCATCTTCTATGTAATCCATAATTTATTGGGCAATAGGCTTTCTGATATAATTTAGTTATTGCGGATTTATGTAAAAATTCAACGCGACGTGTTCTTAATATGAGAGCTGCGAAGTGTTCTGAACTGAACGATGTTTTTCGGACCCTAACATAACGGGTATATATGGCCCGGACACCTTGGAGAGTTGTAGGGAAGGTAAAAAATGAGTCACGTAGTATAAATACGTTCCCTCATTTATTTATTCGAAAAGTAAATAACACTGATACATGTATCTAATATATATATATTTTATATAAATACTAAAAAAACACGCCGTACAGGAAAAGTGCACTTTAAAAGCAATTGAATTGACATTGTCAAGCCATGACGTGGGAGAGCCATGCTTCGTCAAAGATGGGCCGGCTCGACCTGTGCGATACCACCGCCTCACAGAAAACCTGTCGTTAAGCAATTTCCCTGTTGTATTTCACCGAGTGAGTGAAGTGTGGCGTCTCCCACATACAAAAAACAGAAACATACTACAACGCCATCTAATGAAGACACACCGAACTCCGGAGTAACTACTAAAATAAGAATGCTAATCCTGTATCGCGATATAAAGAATTCCCTCGCCGATTAGCATATATACAACTTCCCAACATCAACCGTTGGGCCGCGGCCCGCCAGGCATGATCACCTCGCCTGTCGGAGGATCCTCCCTTTGTGTTGGAGGGACATGACACCCGTTCCTCCACAGAGGTTTTCGGAGCCCCTCATAATAGCGTCGTTTGAAAACATTCTACCCCAGGGGGGGTACCAGCTGCATTAGCGTTGGAGAATCACCCTCTGGACGTCCACGCTCAGATCACCATGCGTCTGGGCGTGGATGTCTGGGCTGCCCCGCGTATTCTGGGGAGGGGCGCAACACCCCCCGACAGGATATGCGTCCGCGGCGGGAGCAGGCAAATCAGGCCACTCCTCACCACGCTTGACGTAAATTTCTGAAATAAAAGGGGCCTTCACTCCAACCTCAACGCTGTCCACCACCACCTCGAGACAGCGAAGCCGGCATTTGTCGTATCACCTCGGTTTGAGAGCACCTCCCTAACTGCCTCAGCCAGCATCGGAATCCTAGGCATCGACATATCGAGCGAAGTCCAGTTTTCCCCATTCAAAAACTGAATACCCGCACTCCGTTTGCTACACCCCTAACAGTTTCATTAGACGATGGAGCTCGAATACGGGGTAAGGGAGATTCAAGTTTGAGCATGCCACTGGTCTGTGAAAATAAGTTTCCTAATTAGTACTATTGTTTGGATCTAGGTGTGGTTGTGTACGTGACCAACATCACATTTAGGTAGATCAATGGAATTCATACGTAACGTACGAGTTAGTTCGTCGTCTTGGGAAGATAAGAACGGGGTTGAAATAAGTTATGTGAATGCACTGTACAGATTTTATTATTATTTACAGAAACTTTATATCATACAATTTGAAACACTTATTGAGATATCGGTAGCCACTAGTTAACGCTGGAGGCGGGCGCCTGCAGCAGGGCGGCGGCGCGGCAGCAGCGCGCCAGCAGCGCCGCCAGCTGCAGCGGCGAGCCCAGCCCCTCCGCCACGCGCACCAGGGTCTGCCCCACCTCGCGGACGAAGGCGAGGCGCAGCTCGTCCGGCGCCTCCAGGGTCTTGCACACGCGGAAGATATTGCTCACGATGTCTTCGGCTGCGTATCCCAACTTGCACAGCTTCGCGATCACCTGCATAACAGTGTTACCGAATATGTTATTGATGTGTATATTTCCTCTCGGTTTATGTAATCTGTGGGAATTATTTCGTGGAAGGGACGGAAGAAGTGTGTAGCGGTGAGCCAGGGAAGCGCGTGGTGTTGCTCCGAATACACGCATTTACTACAGTCTTCGTTACAGAAGTAATCGAACGATTTTTAAATTTATATATAAAAATATTGATCAACAAACACAGAATCATCGCATCAATGAGTTGCTGTAAAAAAATGGATTTCAGATAATACCATATACATTAAAGTAAAAGTGTCTGACCAAAATCAGATACAGTCCTGAAAATGCCCGAAGCCCTTTAGCCACACACACCTTATAAGCCTCATGGATGTCCTGCCGAGTGCAAGCTTCGAGCATGTTCCTCACGAGCATAGGGTGCGGCTCGTCACACACTTTGAACACGTGTTCGCTGCTGATGTGACCGAAGCCCTGCGCCGTGGACTGCAGGTTGTTGAGTGCGGCGCGCAAGTCTCCCTGCGCCGTGAATACTACTGCCGAAACTCCCTCCTCCGTGTAAGAAAGATTCTCTTTCTCGCATATTTCAAGAACCTGTGAATCATACTTTTCGTTTTTCGACATATCTATGATGCAGCTTAAAAAGGAAAATATGTACAACACTTTTGGCTGGGTCAGACCGCAGGCACGGTGGTGGGGCGGTGGAGGCGCGCTTACCAGCACCTCATGCTGCCCTGAGTGTGGCCGCGAGTGGACAGAACGGGTTTTGCCCTAAGCCCGCCATAACGCCCATCAACGAGGAGGAGGAGGAAAAGCTGTTCCCGGACCCCTCCTATCTCAGGCGCGGAGTGGCATACCGTGTGATTTAAGTCGGTTTCAATTCCCAAACACCGCCCTGTCGCAAAACCCAGGTGGGGTGACGGCCCGAGGGGATTTCCACACATTATAAAAAGGGGCTAACAATGGGTCAGTAACCTATTTACTGACCCAATTGTCAGTTCATAAATGGGTGGCTGACCTTAGCAAGTATCTGTGCGTCGGTGAGCCGCGAGTAGCGTAGAACAGCACAGCGAGATTGTATGGGTTCTATGATCTTCTCAGAGTTGTTGGCGGCGAGTGCGAAACGCGTAGTGTGCGAGTACAGCTCCATAGTGCGCCGCAGGGCCTGCTGGGCACCATCCGTCATACTGTCTGCTTCATCCAGGATTACTATCTTATGACGTCCAGGAGGCAGTGTTACCTGAACATTTTTTTAATGGTTTAATTTTTGGTAAGTAATAAAGGTTCTTAGACTACCTAAAGTCATTTGGTTTCCAAATCATAGCAATTGCCAGTTTTAAAAGTGTGTGTACCATGTAAAACAATAGCTGTTGCTGTGTGACAATGAAACTAGACTATTACGAGGGCTGCTATTTATGTTTCCGGAATAACAAAGTTAAACAAACATATAGCATTTATTATAGTTTTATTGATTTTCTAAATATTCGCCGTGATGATCGATGCACGTTGGAACCAATTTTTGAAGCTTTTTTTTCCATTCTGATTGTGGTATCACCAAAACGTGCATTTTGAACGCCTCAACAGCCACTTCACGGCTCGGAAAACGTTGACCACGTAATTTGTTCTTCACGGTTGGGAATAAAAAGAAGTCGTTGGGGGCCAAGTCAGGGCTGTACGGCGGATAACCCGTTCATTCGATCTTTTGATCTTCTAAATACTGAGTTGTTTCGGTCGATATGTGGCAGCTAGTATTGTCATGATGAAGAAGGATTCTGCTTTGTCGGTTATTCTTTCTTATTTCTTCAAAGACTTCTGGCAAACAAATGGTCGTGTACTATTCAGAATTAACGGTTTTACGATCCTCTAGTGGCACTGTAGCCACATGTCCATTTATACCTAACAAGCGACCATTTGCTTCAAAGAGCTTTTTAAATGAATGACTTTTGTTGGGTTCGGCTCATCTTGGAACATCCAACCCCTTGATTGTTGATTAATTTCAGGATCATACGCATATATCCAAGATTCATCTGATTAGATATTATAGAAAGCTTTTGACGCACCCTGATTGTACTTTTGTAACATTTTTTTAAACCAATCGACACAAGCCCGTTTTGGTCAATTCTCAACTACTGCAGAATGTGAAAAAAAATTTTTTACAGCCAAATGTCCGGGTAATATTTTATATATATTCATCATACTTATTCCCAGAGACGTCTCTATATCACATGACGATCTTGCATTATTAGTTCCCGCACATCTTCAATATTTTGAGGTACAACACCCGATTTAGTGTGACCTTCTTGAAATTCGTCTGTGACCACAGTGTAAATCAGTGATACACAGTTGTTTTTAATGGTGATTCGTCCCCAAAAGTCAAGTCAGTGAGTTGACGGTTTTGGAGTCAGCCTTCACCGAAAATCGTAAAATAAATCATAGCACGAACATTTTTACGAGTTATATCCATAGTGATAAAGACACACAATTTTCATAATGATGCCACAAAGGATAAACAAATGACAGCTACATAAAACTAATTGTATTCTTCAGCCAAAAAGTTCTATTTTTAAATGTTATAATTACTTTTTTAATATTCTTCTATGACTTGCCAGTTCCGGATACATAAACAGCAGCCCTCGTAACATATAATATACTATAAAATATGTTAATGGTATGTGAATAGTCTAAAACTAGCACACAATAAAATATACTTTTTTTTGTTGACCGGGTGGAAAATCCCTTTGGATCTCCTGCTCCTGGGGGACTCAGGCGCTAGCAGTATGTGGTGATTCGACTAAAAACCACCCCGATGGTCAGCCTCAGGTGTCCTAATCTGGGAGGACCCGGAACATGTTATTTTAGGTTTTCCCCAAATATAAAGAAATACAAAGATATACCTAGAGAATACTTTTTAACTTTTTAAACTAAGCAAGTACCTACTTATTAATCAGTTTCCTGTATTTATTTAATATTAAAATTGACTTTTTTAATAGAATTTTCCAAAATGTGTTTTCACATTTAAATCCAACAAACAAACAACAAAGTTATCAGTTTCAAGCAACACTAAGTCAGGGCAAAGAAAATGTAGGCACATGCACCCTGCAAGGCCATGGCTGCCATTCGTTTATATTATTTTATAATTATATTATACAAGAGATCGCCTTCTTAATGTCTTGTTTAACTTCATTAAGTGTATTTTACCTTGAACTGTATATCAATTTACTTTCTTCCTCTGTCCAATTAGAGAACTATTCCATCCTCAAGATATGTAATGGAGGCACCTCGCCATAAAACAAAACCAGCCTAAGTCATAGGTTCTCATATTAATATACCTAGGTAAAAATCAATATAATATTGTTTAATTCCCTATATTTTATGCAGTATGTGTAATGTATTTCAATCAAAATAAATGTATTTCTTTCTTTGAAGGGGCAGAATGCTACCTTTCTATGGCTCAAAACTAGGCCGATGTATACTCTAACACTATAAACTAAGATATAACTGATGACGAAACCTTCTGCTGGGCAAACATCTTGATCTTGTTGCGCACCACGTCAATACCGCGATCGTTCGATGCGTTGAGCTCTAACACGGCATCGCGGAAGGCGGTACCCAGCAAAGCACGCGCTAAGCATAGGATTGTGGTAGTCTTGCCGACTCCCGGTGGACCAGCGATTATGATGTTTGGCGCGTTACCCGTACGTGCAAAAACTGCCAACCGTGAGACGGTATCCTCGTTGCCTACGATATCACTAAAAGTCACCGGTCGGTACTTCTCTATCCAAGGTAGGTGCGACACAGGCTTACTTGTGCTCGCACTCGGTTTCACAGCCTTCGGTGTCGTCTCATCCACTTCCATAACAGTAATACTGTCTTCACTCATAGTTTATTACACAAAACCAAAACAAAATGATAGTGAAACACAATAACACTGACAAACAAACGGTTCTAATTGGCGCGCTATCACTGACCACATCAGTGTGACCACGTTAGCAAGATTTCTACCAAACTGTTAAATTAAAGTCTATTTTACCGACATTGAAGAAATCCAAAACGTCCAACAGGATTTTCGATAAACATTACATGATACGACCAATTTGTTACTTATAGCAAATATTTTCTAGTATTATAATTCACGTGTAACGAGATGCCTCTACTTAACACATCACATCCAACAACACCATAGGGCAGGCATATACCTAGATATAAAACAACCGATTTAAAATGTTTTAAATAAAATGTTGCCGTTTTAAACCAAATAACCAAATTAATCGTTTTAAACTGTTGAAAACTCAGCTACAAAAATAAAAGAACTTTGTATTACACCCCATTTAAAAGTTATTGTCAGTTGTCAGCAGGTCCCATGCCCCTATACCCTTCCCCTACAGATATCAGCGCCTGGAGTGAGAAGCGTGAGTACCGGGTACGTTCCAGCCTGCAGATATTAAAATTTCAAAATAATAAAAATCTCATTTTATAGATCTCAATTAGCCCTTTCGACCTACGTTAATTAATTTATAAACCCGTTTTTCGTTTTCCAAGGAAAAATAGAAATATAATTTTCAATTTTCCTCTACTTAAAATAGCCATATCTCTTTGAAAAATGATTATTTTTTACTCTACCAAGCGTGAAAAAATTGCCCTTGCGCTAATTTAATTTGCCCGCATGCTAATTCTTAAAAATATTCAATAATTATTATTGTAAACAATAAAAAACCGTCGTGGCATTTCCAAGCCAATTATTTGCGCATTGCGCATGCGCAACAGAATAAAGGTGATACTCACATCGTCAACTGCAGATCAGCTGATGCTACACGCACGGAAGGTCGGATGGACCAACTAGAACTAAACCCGCTTAGTATATCAATATCAGTATATCACACATACATTACAACACACAATACAATCTTTACACAGTTTAAAATCAAAACAAAAGGTAAAATCAAGAAAATGTACTTATAATTAAGAAAAACATAGTCATCAAAACCAACCGTTTTTAATCTAAGTAAACTTTTTTTTTGTTATAAACATATTGGTTTAATTGGTTTTAATCAGGCCTTTCGTCTATAGGTAGGCACAGTGTTAAAAAAAGTTATTTTTTCGAAATATATTAAAATCTTGCATTGCACACTGAAAGTTCTTGCACAATTACACATCCCATTAGTAACATCGACGTTTAGACATTGAGTTAAAACAACACTAGAGAAGCAAACCTCATTATCACACTTCGAAAAAAGTGTAACCACTTTTGAACTTTGACGACGTAGCTTTGATACCACGAAACATTTGAAAGTAAACATATTTATGTCTCATTTACACGCGAGACAAGAACAATACCATCGCTCGGATTAGACAAAGACAAAGACATAACTTTACGATGGTGGGCCAGTGTTGACTACCGTATGAAATTTTACCCATAACAACCAAGAAACAATTTTTTTTAAAACAATTTTGTAATAAATTAAATTAATTTAAATATTTTAAATAATATATTTCGAATTGAATGGAATAGGTATAAATAATAAAATAACTAGAAATATTTGGTTAAAAGGGTTTATATTCAGTGTAAAATCAAACTCCGCTATGAAGCATCAGTTTTGTATACAATTGTCTTTTAGACTCTTTTTTATAAGTTTGTGTGAATATTTTACTTTCATGATACAATCTTATTTTTACCTATGGCAAATAATGGCATTTAATAGTAAAAGTGAATGATCAACTTGTACTGATAATAAATAATCCCCAGGGTGTATTGCAAATTCTTTTAATATTTTAAAATACAAATAAAATATATATATATATATATATATATATATATATATATATATATATATATATATATATATATATATATTGTTTTTTATATTTTTTTATTTATGTTTATTTACTTTTTTATTTTATTTACATATTTTTTTTTGTACAATTGTTATTTATATTTGATAATTAATTAAGAAAAATGAATGAATGAACGAATTAATTCTTTTATACAAAAGTCTCCAGCACTGCGAGCTTGGCAGAAGGTGAACGTTCAACGGGTCCCTAAAAAAAGTGATCGATTTAGCCCTAACAACTACCGTTCTTCCTATATTTTATTATTATTGACAAAATGTTTAAAAACAGTATAAAGCATATTATTTCATAAATTATAAATTCTCCCACTAATGTGGGAAAACAAAAATGATTTTTTTATGGTAACACTGATTCTAAATTACAATTATCAATGTTTTATTTCAATTATAGCCTTATTTACGATATTATCAATACAAAAACCATAAACTTACACGTGATAAGTAATTCCGCATGATTTATTATGGTTTTGTGACCTTGAATCGCATTCTTTCACTACGCATTTACCCATTTTGGCGATTGTTACTGTCATGTGTCGCTATGTTCAACTCGGTTGACGCCACATTGAACACTGAATTGACGTTTGCTACGCATATGCCTGTGGACAGATGTGCAGTAGCAACGATTTTAGGCGGTAATTACTCATCTATGTAAGTATTATATCAATGCGTTTAGACCAGAATGCCAATTCTCATAATAAAAGTTGGGTTACAATTCAGTTCCGATTAACTTTCGATTTCACAACTGTTATCAAGGGTATTTTCTGTTGCATAGTTTTTGTCTTTTCTTTTTTTTTGTTGCAAAAAGCCAACCCATCTATGGTAGTGATTTCGTAAAAAGGGACGAAAGTGTGTAACAGGGAGTAGAGGTTTGATTTCAAAATCTATATAATTACTATGTTAATTATATTTTTTCATTTTAACAACTCTTTAGCAATAATTCTTTTCTATGCAAAATATTCTAAATTAGATACTGCACGAGGCCCAACTAAGACTATTAGTAAGCCTATCATTAGTAAGCCTATCATTCAGTATCGTCGGGGTGTCTATTTTCTTAAGTATTATCCAAGGTATGCTGTTCTTATGCCAAGCTGACAAGAATTTACATAACTTCTTCAAATATTATATCTATGAGTATTTTTCTTTCCGATATTTTATCTATCTTAAATCTTAATGTCAAATTGAATTGACGTATTCAGTGTTTTTGTACTTTTGCTATGTTGAGTTGACATTACAGAGTACTTTTTAATACTAATTCTTATTACTTAAAGTTGACATTGACAAAGCAGAGGTGTAAAAGAAACGATAATAGCTTGCTACGTTTGTGTAAATTATGTTTATCACTTTATTTGTTAACTAATAATTATAAGCAGATAGAAAGACAGCCTAGAAGACTTTACTTAAACGATAATAAAATTGACAGTGTAATAAACTCACATAAGATTATTGAGCGAGTGACCTCAGTCAATCTGGGCATGGTGAATCATCACTCCTAATAGTTGCGATCTATTGTTTAAAAACATTGCTAATTTCCAAAGCATTATACCAGGTAATAATACAGTTTATGTAGTGTATAATATGTTGTATTTATTTGTCAATAATCTTACAGTGCAAACCAACAGTGTAACCTAGGGGCATGGACCATAACAATCACCATATCTGGCACTTGAACCATACAGAGAGTACTCAATAATAATAATAATATATCTCACACATCTCACACACGGCCGTCTGATCCCAAACTAGGCAGAGCCTGTACTATGATAACCAGACTGCTGATAAACATACTTATATATTTCTAAATATATACATATCATAGATAAATTACACCCAGACACAGAACAATTGACCGTGCTCATCACACAATATTTGTCCTGGGTGGGAATCAAACCCACAACCTTTGGTTTAGCAGTCAGGGTCACTAACCACTAGAGCAACAGGCCTGTATTATGTAAATCCTTATCATTTAAATAACTTGTGTATGAACAGGCTGAGCAACTTTTTACTTGATATCACTTATATAGTTAGCACCTAATATCAGCAGTGTTGTAGTCCCCATGTGTGTACGTTATACATAGAGCCATACATTTGTGTATAGATACCTATTCCTGTCAATCTAATGGTGTTTATCAGTCATAATTTATATCCAACTGTCATTTTACATTTCAACAAAGTTTATGATATGACATCTTTTGATCTATAACGCACACACACACACATTTAAATCATGCCTGCGTCCCTGAAGGGGTAGTTAAACCATTAAACAACCATGATTACTTCCCACTTATGTAGCATTGCCATCAAAAAGATGCATTGGATGTGAAGAATCTGTAATATTTCGTAAGGAAGCATAGGTGATGGTGAAGAATTGGGATGTAATAAAACCTCAATCACATTTACATGTGACTGATTTACAAAACCACTGCAACCTATTACTATTATTATGCTTGTGCTAGACTCGCAAAAGGTCTAAATAAAAAAAAAGGTTGTAATCTTTGATAAAAAGAATTTTGATTGATTTTAATGGCATTTATGTCTGACTATGACGAAATCACAATCACATGTGGTATTGCAGTCTTGAACCAATTGTTTCATCCAATTAATATGATTTACAAGTAACAATAATTTCCATGTCTAGTGGGGAATGTATAATGCTTATATGGATGGCTGATGAAGAGTGTACCTAAGTAAGAGAAGACAGCGGTGTGAACTGTTCAACCACTAAATAATATAGAATATGGCAATTAAAGTGAAGTCATTGGTAACCTTTATTAGACAGAAATTTGATGAACACTAAAAAATCATTTCTTAAAAAGTCACGTTGGTTATGGTAAAGGTTATTAATTCCTTCATCATCAGCCTATCGCAGTCCACTGCTGGACATAGGCCTCTCAAATCACACGCCACTTAGATCGATTTTGGGCTTCGCGCATCCAGCTCCTGCCAGTCATCTTGCTCTATTTGTCACTCCACCTGGCCTGTGGGCGCCCTACACTACGTTTGCCGAGACGCGGTCTCCATTCAAGAACTCCTTCCTAATTCCTTACCAGAAGGATAATATAGTTGTGAGATCGAAAGGTGATCGGAACTGAATTGAGACCAAACTTTTTATTATGAGAATTGGTCTTCAGGTTTAGTGCTAATCCACAAAAATTAAACATGGATCAAAGAGCCAAGCAACGTAGACCACAATGACTGTCTGTTTCTAATTCAACAGTGAAGTGTCCATGACATTTTACATGTAAAGAGTAAAAATATGTTTTCAGGTTGCAATAGAAAGTAATCATGGAGTGGTTATTTGGTCATCGAATGACTCCTGAGGAGATGATGCGCAAGAACCAGCGAGCGCTTAATAAGGCTATGCGTGATCTGGACCGTGAAAGAATGAAAATGGAGCAGCAGGAGAAGAAAGTGATCGCTGACATCAAGAAACTAGCCAAAGAGGGACAAATGGTTAGTAGTCACTGCATTGATTTGGAACATAGGATAGTGCTTCCAGTGTCAATATTCCAATCTACACACACATTAGTGCTACATCCCTTCTTAAATTACTCATAGTATTTATGCGGCGCTAAAACTGATCCATTTAATTCAAGTAATGCATTATTGTTAGTCTATACATACTACTCATCGTCATACTACTTACTTGAGGCTATTTAGCCCATCAGGGTTGGTTGTCAGAGTGGCTCATTTTGGACAGCAGTTTAAGCAAAATTTAGGTATACTAGGTATCTAAAACACTTATGGGCAGCGATAATAAGTTTACTGAAAATATTCCAATTACAGGGAATAGCAGTGCTATTCTCTAAATAAACAGCCTTGTGTCGAATTTCTTCTTAGTAGTTTGAAATTCGACGCTGTGGCAACGCTGTACGCTGTTTCCCTAGAGAATAGCACTGCAGATAAATTTTGACTAATTTTGTAAGGGTTACTTGGTTCTTGCGTGTTCAGTTATGAATCTAATTCACTGATGCACACTATAATAGTTGTTGACACTTGTAGGATGCTGTGAAGATAATGGCAAAGGACCTGGTGCGCACGCGTCGCTACGTGCGCAAGTTTATGCTGATGAAGGCGAACATCCAGGCTGTGTCGCTCAAGATCCAGACCCTCAAGTCGCAGAACACTATGGCACAAGCGATGCGCGGGGTCACGCGGGCAATGGCCACCATGAACCGACAGCTCAACATGCCACAGATACAAAAAATATTACAGGTACAGGGGTTACATTTGTTTTTGTTTTGTGTGTAACTCTTGGGTACCTCAGAGAACTTTGAAGCGATTGAAATAAATTTCAGGAATAAAGTGTTATAGTCACCTTTTGGGTGATTTTTTAATAGTCACGCTTATAGCCGCGTATCTCCCCTGTTATGGTCGCTATACGAGTACCGTGTGGGCTTCTACCAGGACAACAACACAGCAACTACGCACGATAATCGTCCGACGCGCAAACTGTAACTTCGAGTTTCAAAAACTTCCTTATTTATTTATTTACTAGCTGACCCGGCAAACGTTGTATTGCAAAACAAAAAAAAAATTAGGAATGAGTCACCCTTACCATTCTCCTACCTATACCTTCTCAGACCTACCCGATGTGCACACAAAATTTCATGAGAATCGGTCAAGCCGTTTCGGAGGAGTACGGGAACGAACATTGTGACACGAGAATTTTATATATAAGATTAGGTGGCCCAAGCAAGCATTATTAAGCATTCCAAGTATAATAACGTGGCATCTCCGAGTAAAGCAAAGTTCGTGCAAACGGATCGCTTTGGCAGATGGCAAAGAAACTGGTCAATGTAGTTGCTGGAGGTGTTTCAGTACGTTGCATAGCATTCGAAGCACAACAGCAGGATGACGTTCGTGAATAGGGAATGCGAATATACGCCAAATCGCTTCATTACAGTTTACATAACGACCAACTTGATAGCGTGAAATTTCATCGTTGGTATTTGAGGATTGCAATCCAAAAACCGCCATATCGCTGCCTTTCGTGACATATTTGCAAATATATTTTATGGACTTTACTAAATTGCAATACTCAACGTTGCAATGTGTCTTGAACGGTTTAGAAATAAGTGGCGAATATGGAACAATCCAACTGTTGTCGACAACGAAATCCATTATTTTCACTTTTGTTGTGACAGTTCCACCGTTGTCATCTGGTAATCGACGCCGATACAAAAAAAAAAAATACGGAATAAATAGTATCCTATGTCCGTCTCCTGGCTCTAAGCTACCTCCTCACCAATTTTCAACCATATCGGTAAAGCCGTTCTTGAGTTATAAATAGTGTAACTAACACGACTTTCTTTTATATATATAGATTTATTTATTTATTACAACTATGGAGGATTTACAGCTATGATGATCACAATAAAAACAGTCAAGAAAACAGATAGCCAATTACAAATCCTCACTTATATAAATCAGAGATAAGTTACAGTGCATAAGACAATACAGAATATGATCAAGAGGTATTATATAAGTTACAGGCACAGATCACTTACAAATTACATAGAACGTAATAATATACACACAAAACAGACAGGACCCATAACAATAACTACTCAGACCCCTCACCATCACCCCTGAAGAGTATCTACTTTATTGTCAAATGTTTATATTATTTGTAAACATGTATTGTACGGCAAATAGTAACTAAAACTCAAAAAGAAACTATGTACATAAACTAAATTCGACACGCAACTCTCTAACTGCAGGAGTTCGAGAAACAGTCAGAGATAATGGACATGAAAGAGGAGATGATGAACGACTCCATAGATGAAGCCATGGAGGCAGACGACGACGAGGAAGAGAGGTGAGCATGCTCCAGATCTATTGTCAATCTTATTTATATTACGATAATAATGTGTTATTACACTTTAAACCGACTTCAGGAGGAGGTTTTCAATTAACCTGAATCTTTTTTTTATCGACGACGCGACGGGTCCGACTTAGAACCATTTCTTTTTGTGTTAGGTATACGTTTTCCGTGTCCGTGTCCGTGTGGTGACGGATTAAGAATACAAATTGTCACCACCCCAATTCATGCCGTGGGTGTCGTAAGAGCCGACTAAGGGAGCAAACTAAGCAGGACAACAGCACTGCAAAGAGAAGGAAAACTTGACACAAACCCTATACCAACTCGTCTGGCCAGTGTGGTATAGTAGGCCAAAACCTCCTTTCTAAGGAGAGGCCTATGTCCAGCAGTGGACTAGTATAGGCTGTTGATGTGTGATGTGATACGTTTTAGTTGGTTCCATTGTAATCAAGTCCAATTTTCATAATGGGACCCTAGAGGAATCGAGTTAATTGTTCAAATATTATAGAGTCTATAATATTAATATAGATAGAGTCTATAATCTATAATATAGACAAACCTAGAGCGACTTGGGTATCTTTAATTGTAATTCGTGCATTTGCTCCTGGAAAATCACCATTCGATAATTTGTACAGCAATAATTTATAATGAAGACCAATAATTTTTTCACGGATTCAATTAGATAACACGTTTGACGTAGACGTAAATTGAGCTTAACGATCAGCAAATCTTCAAAAATATTGCATCACAAAAAACCTTAATCTTAAAATTTATTAGCAGTTTTATGGGTTAACTGCACTGGGTGACTGCACGGATGGCGTAGTGGTTTAAGCGGTCGCCATGCCGCTTCCTACTACGCCGAGTGTTGTGGGTTCAAACCCCACATGGGACGACACTTTGTGTGATCCACAAATTGTTGTTCTGAGTCTGGGTGTTCTTTATGTCCGTTTCATGTATGTTTGTAAAGTCCCCCGCGACACAGGATATGTTCCTAATGCGGGAGTTGTCTTTTTTAATAAAAAAAGAAGAAAAAACAAAAAAAAAACACTATATTTCAAAAAATAAAAAATTGATTGAAATAGTCTTTTATGTAGACTCTAAAGTCATAGATCAACACACACAAAAGCAACAATCTCTGTTTTGTCAAATAGTAAACAAAAAAAATATAAAATATTGAAAATTAAACTTATACAAAATCTTTGATATGCCTGTGCCGATCTACAACCGCCCGTTTCCAAGGGGTTGAGCCTTATGAGAAGAAAGGGCAAACAAACTCATGGTCAAATTTAGCAGTAAGACTGAGGTGTCTAAAATGTGTCGTATATTTGTACAATGTATGTGTGTTGTTGTAGCGACGCGGTGGTGTCCCAGATCCTGGACGAGCTGGGGCTGCAGCTCAACGACACGCTGTCGGGCCTGCCGCAGGCCACCGGCTCACTCTCCGTGCCCGGTATGTGTAAAAGTTAAGCATGATTCCAAACATGGCACAGCCTGTCCCGCAGGACCAGACTGAAATGTTATAATTATTGATTGGTTGCTATTTAGAGGAATGCTCACATCGGATTTGAGCGAGGACGAAATTAGTAGTAGATACACAATTTAAGTGAAAGTTGACTGGTCGGTCGGATCGACCTCGAATAATATACACCAAAAGATTTCTGTAGGTATTGAAAACAAAAAAATCTTAAATTATTATATTTATGTATTTTAATATTGAAATAAAAACTTTCGTGAGAGGTATTCACATATTTATAGAGGATAAACGGTTTCACTTAGCCGTGTATTTCTAAGGCCTGACTAGTTTCACACCCTTCTTGTTGTTGGAGGGTTCGTGGCGGAGGCAGCCGATGCATACCTTTCCCTCGTCGCACCAGAAACGCGGGGCCGAAACTGTTTATCCTTCATAGATCCTCAAATAAGACTACGCCTTTCTATATACTTGTGAAAACAATATAATACTAACCCGCATACCATGATGTCCTTCCAGCAGCCAAGAGTCCGACGGCGGCGGCGGCGGCGGTGGGCGGGGGGGGGCGGGGGCGCGGGGCCCTCGGACGCGGACGCCGAGCTGCAGGCGCGCCTCGACAACCTGCGCCGGGAGTAGCCGCCCTCCGCCCTCCGCCCGCCTCCCCACTCCCCCCACACCTCGAGGCCTTATCGTCTAGCTTTACTGGAAACGGTCACTGTTCGTGAGGTGCCGCACTTTGGAGACCTGACTCACCCCGCGTAGCTTTGTAATATTAAGAGTTGAACGGCTTAGAAAAATGCTAATAGATCAATGTTGCTTTAGTATTTTGAAGCATACCGGTAAATTTTATTATTTTTCTCTACGTTCTGACCGTAGAGACAGAAACATGAACATGAAACGCTTTTTCGACCCATGCCGCTGTAAATAAAGTAACGTATAATACGCAAAGAGCGCTCAGTCCCGTCCGTCGGTGTGGTGGGCCAGGAGGAGGGGGGGGGGGGGTAGGACCCTACTGCGATTGTCGTTCGGTAGCTTCGCTAGCGTTGTACACATTTGTTGTTAAGTTATTGTATACAATAATTAAGTTTATATAAGTATATTATAATAAATATTTTTACACACCAATTTGTTTTATTCATACGAGGGAAAAATAAATATTCGTAAATTACCAGTTCAGATCATTTATTATTTATTCTCATACACGGCATTGTATAACTAATAATTACAACAATATAACTTTATAAAATATGAAAATACACCTCGCTAAATACTGAATAATACGTGTAGGAGCATGCGCACGCGCACATCGCGGGCACGCCGTTACACAGCTACGGAGCTGGGTTACACCCACTTATTGTTTTCAGCGGAATGGGCATGCACTTAATCTGACCCAGGATCTACTATTACAATACCATAAACCTATTCGGAATAATTCATACTTCCCTTATAAAGTACACTTAAAACTTATTAAGAAATAATTTCTCCAATATATATATTGATATCACAAGTCTGACTCAACGGGTCGGTGCACAAACAAATAACTCTCGCTATCTCGAAAATCTTGTCTGTCAATATGTCACTACTCTATCACTACTAGTGTGGTACTGAAGCGGCAAGGTTTGATTATTTGGAATCGATACAGAGACAACTCCGGGTCTCACGGACAGCCATCAGACACTAAGTAACAACACCTAGCCTCGGGAATAGTACCCGTGGCTACGACTAGCTGTAGACCGACATCCGACCCAAGACACTGTCCGGGCCGTGCCCTGAACAGCTCTTTGGAAAACAACGTGAGTGACGATTTATAACTAGTGAACTATTTATAACATTTTAACGTACATACACTACGCCTCAAAGACTGGAAGCACTTCTGTTCTTAAACAAAACAAAATATTGTAGATATATTTATTGCGATAAGTGATAACATCGAGGTTCACGACCTTTTCGATTGATTGTACAAAACAAAAAGATTATCGTCATACATGGTCAAACTTTTATGAGTATGCAACGATGCAGTTTTGTTGCAAATATTTGGTAGTTTTAACCCATTTTAGTCATCTTTGAGTACTGGCACGCGAAGATTGTCTCTAATTAAAAGTAAAGGCTTTCTTTTGTTTTATTTGTTTGTGTCGCTCCACAACTTTGGGACGGCAGTGTAGGTATGTCTCATAAAACACAACACAATGCAAATTCTATTCAAAGATACTTCTTTTGAATGAGTACCTTTACAAAAAAAACGATGATATTTTGACATTCTCAAATAGTTTTATTTGTCGTTTACAGCGGAAACGTGGATTTACGAGAATTGACTCATTGTGTCCGTTGTCATTTTAAGTCTACCCTCAAGATGCTAAGTTTACATGACGGTGAAGTTGTTAGAGTTATGTCCTCGGCACCACACTGTGTTGTGGATGGTAGATGTCTTCACTATTTTTGTAATTTACAACAAAAACAGTTAGCAGTTAAACGCTACATGAATATTTCAGTAACAACTTGAAGGTACAAACAATGCATGTATATAATACATGAGATCAACCAGGCCTGTGTCATCACAGTTGACACCGCGTTAAGAGCCGAAAGGCTTAAATGGGATGTAACTACTACATAGAAAAATATACTTTAACTATACATATACACATATAGGATGATATCGTCACATTTAATAAAAATATTACTAACGGATATTTAAATAAAATTGTATAACTTTAGAAGACAAAATGGAGCACGTATCACAGACAAAACGCCCGGCTCTTGTAAACGATTACAAAATATACTGTCTACCAACATCGTAACAAAATATCTAATACTTAGTACCTACATACTGGAGCAACCCCACGCGAGGGCGCCACTCGCACCACCTCCCTCGGGGCCGTGGGGGCGGCGCACCGCTCGCGAGCCGCAGAGGAAGAGTGCGAGCCCACACAGGACTCTCAGAACACATTATCTACCGCTTTGTATGGGGATGCACGAAACTCTTACATGAACACTGCAGTATTTGTCATCCCCATTCATTACGAAACTGAATAAAATTTCATTCAGTTTAATGCTGCAATGTGTTTAGAAACGTTTACATGTTCCACTATAGTTTGATTAGTTCTAATAAATCGATATAGGTATCTGAGAGAGACAAGTACGTCACTAAGCGACTACGAACGAGGACCAAAGAGGTCCCCGCTCTAGGTTCGTCGGCTGAGAGCAGGTCGTGCGGGCTCGCTACCCTGCGCTCGTATAGCCACCTACTTGACTCTACAGTGGTTTTGTAAATTATGATAAGTATATGGGTGCACACGACTATCGACCGTATCTATTTATGTACGCAGGTAAATGTATCGTTAGTTTATCTAATTCAAAAGAGCCACCTTGTGGATATTCTTTCTTATGCTGATTCACGATCTCTCCGAAGGCTCCTCACAAGGCTCAAAACTAACTCGGCACGAGCACAGTACGACCCTTCACGCGCTCGCCTCCAGCGCGCTGAGCGCGATACCCAGCTGCCCCAGGTAGTAGGTCGACATCACTAGCACCTGAACACACGAGACCGACCCATTAGTACAGCACCCGTTACCAGCGATCGCTGTTTACATACACGAAACAGTATTTAATTTTGTTAAGTAAAAGAAACATGAACTAACCTGCTTGTAGGGAACTGGACCGCCGAACAAACTGTACCCCAGGAACGCGTCCGACACGAGGAATAACAAGGACCCCACGGCAGCTTTATGACCCTTCGCGGTACCGCGCCACGTCATCGTGGCTAGTAGCCACGCGTACGCGGGCACCAGCACGCGAAGACCGGCGGGCGGCGACACACAAGAGAGATAGGCCGTGGTGGCGGCGTACAAGCCGAGCCCGACGCGCCACGATAGCTGCTCGAAGCCAAAGGCGGCGAGGTAGGCTACGTGTGCCGATCCAAACGCAGCCATACCGGCCACGAAGTGCTGAGGCCACACCAGCAGCGCGTCACCCAGCATCGACAGAGCCAGTCCCACAGCCACCCATCGCGCGTACCACGCCCTACACACACAAGGGATACGCTACGAATATTACGCTCAAATAAACAATTGTTGTAACTAGCCGAACTAAGAAGTAGAAATTATTTTCTACTCTTTACGTAGGGGAAAGTATAAGTAAAAAAAAAGTCATTCTATTTTAAAATATCTTGACAAACGCCCCACGTTTTTATGCGATAAAATGTTTTTTTTTCTTGTTAAGTAAAAATTATTTTCTACTTTTTAGTTCGGCTAATTTCAAAAGCGTGTTTATTTTCGTTTATTCTAATATTAGGATTTCTTGATTTATAATATTAGGATTAATCAATGCTTTTGACGCCGAATAATGGTTCCCCTTTTTATCAAATTTGGACTCATGTCCATGAAATTTCTCAGAAATAAAATAACGGGTCTCCCTCTTCAAAGTATCTCCTACTTCAATCATTTCTACCAGCGGCAAATAATGACATGGGTGTATCCTTCATTATTCATAGCACACTACACTTTCCACTGTAAGGGGCTAAGTCTAGGGTCACATTATTGGTTAAAGTGGTTGGATCCAATCTAAATCCTTGAGCTATATCGTTGTCTTCTTCATCAGTGACACGAGATCTCTCCAGATCAAATCGTCGCCTGGAAACAGAGCCGGTACGTCTTAGTCGTCGATAGGTTCCGTACACTCTACTGTCGGGCGTATAGCGTGCTACTCGTATGTACCTATTCACCTACGAGCTTTTTATTTATATGGAATAGGTGGCAAACGAGCAGACGGGTCACCTGAAGAAAAGCGACTAAATCTGCTGTCATAGATTCTTTTCAAATATTTGTCAAAGAAAAAAGAAATACAAACTTATTTCTTTTTGCTATTATAAACTACTAGCGGATCCGCGCAACGTCGTCTGCGTCTCTCAATAGTAATAAATTTACTCCGTTTTTGAAACATTATTCATTGGTGCTCCGCTCCTATTGGTCTTAGCGTGATGATATATAGCCTATAGCCTTCCTCGATAAATGGGCTATCTAATACTGAAAGAATTTTTCAAATCGGACCAGTAGTTCCTGAGATTAGCGCGTTCAAACAAACAAACAAACAAACAAACAAACAAACTCTTCAGCTTTATAATATTAGTATAGATCTACTTCGGCCCAGTTTGTTGACTACAATGTCGGTAATGGAAATTATTAAACAATGTATAAACTACACAAAAATAGTAAAAACTAATATTCTAAGTTCTAAAAAAAATGTACTAGGTAAAATTTCGACAATTTATATAAAAATCTTAAAAGTTCAATATCTTGAAAATGCTTAGGTTTGGGATATGGTATTTCATAGTGAATTCTATCAAAAATGATGGCAAATACAACCCCTTAAAGTATTTAGGTCGACTTAATCAGTAGCCCTGTATACAAGAACATACAGATGAAGCTAATAAAAGCGTGTTAAAAATAATAAAAACTAACTACCTCTCTTAATAAAAATAATTTGATTGATTTAAATTAGATTGTAATGGATTATGATTGAAGTTTTGATAGGTGAATCGTATTATCTAAACACAACAAGAAAATACAACACGTAAACACGTGCGCGAACAATGCGTCATATAAAAACGAGCTGCATTGCGCGTACTCGGTCGGATTCGCTCGGACGTCGACGAAGCAACACCTCTCCGCAGCTCCCGAAGACTCACGAAGCCTGACGAAGTTGCCCGAAGCTGTTGCTGCCTGCACGGAACCGTTTTTCTTTGCCTCCCGGCCTTAGCCGAGTGTTCGCAGGAGACGTCCGCCCACCGATGCAGTGGCAAACAAGCACAACAGTGCTGATATAATTGTGGGTCGACCACAGCCCAATTTGGTTTTCAGCAGTGAATCTGTTGTATTTGTTTGCAACCCCGTGTGACCCCTGCGCCGCCCGGCTCCGGCCGAGCGACAACCACAGACCTCCTAGGGCAGGCCGCGCGCTTTCTAGCGCCAGCTATGCCCAGGAGACGTGCCAATAACGGGTGACGCGGGCTCCCCTCGCGCTCCGCAGGCTCGAGCTGCACCTGCGCTCGCCAGCGTTGAGCATGAGGGTGAGCACCGCGCACCCATGCCCCAACCGGAAGCGCTCGCGCGTCGCCCCCGACAAAGGGCCACTGCGCAACCGCGCGCCGCGAGTCGCGCTACTAGGTCGCCGGCACCGGTGACCTCGAGCGAGGACTCGACGCCGCGCACCCCAGCCTCCGCCAGCCGCGGAGCCTCCCCGCGTCACCAAATGAAGGCCGAAACGAGACGTGATATCCAGGAGTGGCTAGCCCACCAACGACTGCCAACACGAACGCCTCCGCTGTCCGCCTCCTCGCAGGCAATGGACACGGACGCCCCACCGCCACCTACCCCCACTCGTCGTCAGCACAGCCCCGAAGAGGCGGAGCAGTGCGACGATAGGAAGCGCCCCTGCCTCACCACCCGCGAGAGGACCCCGCTGTACTTACAGCGCGACCCGCGGGTGGTAAGAAGGCAGCAACAGCAGGACGAAAGCCGGCGGGTCGACACCTACGCACAGATCGCGAGGTCCCTGCCCCCCCCAGCCGCCTCCACCGCCGGTACCGCAGAAACTGCGACTACCGCGCCGCCCCAGGCGCCTAAGCGTCGCTATCCGCCGCTAGTAGTAGAATACCTACCCAATTGGGCCACTCACATGCGAGAGCTGAAGCGTATCCTAGGCAGGGCCGCAAACGCCCGCCCCTTCGGCAAGGGGATACGCTTCTCGCCCAAAGACGACCAGGAGTACCGGCTCGTCCAGCGCTACCTCACGGCGCTGGAGAAGAACGAGGGTATCTCCTGGTTCTCCTACTCCCTCCCGGAGGAGCGCAGCTTGAAGGTGGCCATCCGTGGCCTGCCAAGCAACGCGACGCCGGAAGAGGTGGAGCAGGAGCTCCGAGACCTGGGCTTCGACCCCGAGTATGTGCGTAACATACGGGGTCGCGGCGACCGTCCCGGGTGCATTCTCCTCGCCATCCTAAAGAGGACACCAAACCTGACACCGGGGATATACGACATCGAGGAGATGTTAGGAATCCCCGGTGTGAAAATAGAAGTCTGGCGCGGGAAAAAGAGGCCCGCGCAATGCCACCGCTGCCAGCAGTTCAGGCACTCCAGCCACCACTGCCACCGCAGACAGGCGTGTGTGCGGTGCGGCGGTGAGCACCCCGCTGCGAACTGCCCCAGGCCTCTGCAGGAGCCCGCTACGTGCGCCAACTGCGGAGGAGAGCACCCGGCCAACAACACCCACTGCCCCGTCTTCCAACGCGAACAGCGTAACAGGAAGGCGGGAACGGTCGCCGTCACCGGGGAGTCGCGCCAAAGGCCGACACCGGTGAACCCACAGCCCACCGGGGAGAATGCGCAAGGGGCGTCGCTTATGGCGGCAGCGAACCCCGCACCTCCCCGAGCATCCACCTCTTCCAAGAGAAGGCGTAAGAAGAGGAGCGGCAAGAGGAGGACCGCAAACCCCGCTGCAGACACCCAGGTTGACAGCGTCGCGGAGAGACCGTCCGCCGGTCAGCCCGCCACCAACCCAGCTACTACCGAAGCCATCGTCCCCCGAAAAAGGGAGACAGAGAGGACCAAGCCGACCGCCTGCGCAAGCACCTACGGACCAGCAAACGCCCAAAGGGCAGAAGAGGATAGCAGCACAAAAGCTGTTATCCTTTTCACACTGGAGCTGCTCCAAGAGTTGTTGGCCGCCATGAGCCAGGAGCGGAGCAGAGACGCCGTCGCTCGCATCGCCACCAAGGGCGTAGCTGCCCTGATGGCCTGGGGGGCGTAGGCGCCCTGCTCCGCCAACACTTCGACATTCCTGTTGCTGCGGCCACCCCGCGGCTCGCGAGCACCTGTGCCTACTTGGCCCAAGTGGGCGCACCGTGTGTGGGCGCCGGTGACCGCCGCAACAAATAACGAACAGCGCACTCCGCAGACCGCATAGCGGTGCGGACTGCCCCACATACCCCGGACAAGACACCAGAGGGTTGCTAGTAAGTCGCCGCCTCCGTCGCTGGTCGCTCGGAGCTGGGCCTCCCCAGGTACCGCCTGGGGTCTCACCTGGCTCGGGCTTGACCGCCGAGGCGGCGTGAAGACCGAAGCAACCCCGCCTTACCTGAACACGACACCACACTGCCAAAGCACCCCACGACCTACTCCTATTTAGGAGTAGCGGTAGACACCGCTGGCAGGGGGCTACAGCCCCGACCCAGCCACCACGCGTCCCCTAAGGGACGGTGTGAAGACTCGAGAGAGTACTCGGTCATTCTCGCTCGAGACGTCGGGTTGTTCGGATCTATGTACATCGGTAGGTCTCACACCTTGGAATACATTTTAACTGTTTTTACTGTTGTCTTTATTTACTGCTGTACGAATCTATGACTGGGTAAGAACTTGCAAGTAGCTAAGAAGTATTTAGAAGTTGTTGTTATTTACATTATTTTTGACCCACATCACTGATGTTGCTAGCTGCTTATGTAGGCTGTTAGAATGTTATAATTAAATTGTAGTTATGTAGATATAGTGTAGTTATGTAGATGTAGAATCCGTGTGGTGACGGATTAAGCATACGGAATGTCACCACCCCTATTCATCCCGCGGGTGTCGTAAGAGCCGACTAAGGGACCAAACTACAAGACAATAGCTCTGCAGAGAAAAAACTTGAAACAAACCCTGTACCAACCCGTCTGGCCAGCGTGATATAGTAGGCCAAAACCTAAAAAAAGACACAGGTTCAACCTGGTTCGGGCAACCAAACAACAATTGTATTTCATTTATAAATTAGAGAACCATTTATTATAAATTATTGTACTCTTTATCTAAATAAATTATTATTAGTATTATTACTACTATTGCTCTATTTCTCACGTCACTCTATACTTGTTAACGTCAACAAAATTTATATAACCTAAGCTGCTATGTATCCTTGTTCTTTTTATTAAGTAAATCTTGTTATAAGTGTCCTTCCAAATTAAGAGTAAAATTGTATTGTTACTAAAATCATCTGTTCGGCACTATATGTTTATTGTAAAGTGCCACATATTTATAAGTATTACAACTGGCTATAACTGTTTACCTAAAATAAAAGAAGCTAGTTGCAGCGAACTGTTTTTTCTGCTTAAGTAATATAAAACTCGTTTTAGTTAGCAACAAACGGGTTTTATATTATTATGTTAGAGACCAGACCAGTTATTATTTCACATTGTCTAGGCATTTGTCGATAATTAAATATACTAGGTATTGTTTATAATTTGCTTCGATGCCCGTCACTGATGTATCGTGCGCCGTGCGGTAGCACAACTGACACGAACTATTTTAGAAACTTCGCAACATTAATAATACTTTGAATAGAAAGTTAAAAAACTGCAATGCTACCATTTGCATCAATGTCAAGCGCCAATAAAACAAAAATTTTACAGCATAAGGGTAGTTTGAAACAAACACCTGATAAACTGTGTAAAGCATTTAACTTTCTTGTGAATAATACGCGCGTATTCCGACAATAGGTCGGCCCCTATCGATTAATTGTCTTCAATCAAAACAATTGATAAGACTGCGGAAGTATCGACGGCTATCTTATCGTTTCAGTTTAATGAACTCCTTGTTGTAGTAGTACTAACTTGTGGGAGGGCGTGGCCGCGACGTGCAGCACCACGACGAGCAGGAGGCACAGCACCGGCGCGCACTTGGCTGCCACCGCACCTGGCGACGGCGAGCCGTCACCCCCCGCTCCCAGCGCCAAGAAGTACACGCACACGCACTTGAAGAACGGCACCAGACGTCCCCCCACGCCCAGCCGGCTCACCTATAACACGCCATGCTGCTATGTACACACCAGCACTCTAACAAGCCTAAGAAGCCCTAACTCTAGTAGTCTCAGAAATAATCGAACTGTCGCAAACAAGTATTCAGGCCGTATATAAAGACCAAGTCACCCTTGACCATGGACACCTATGATAGCTAGGGTTTCAAGGTACATGGTGCTGACACCATGTACCTTGAAACCCTAAGGTCAGCGGTACAAGAATCAAACAAGAGGTATAGACAGAGACTGTTTTAGTTAGTTCTCCATATCGGTCCCCTCCAATGTAATCATTCTTGATTACCCACATACCCAGATAAACACATACTATGACATCTCCCTTCCTAAAAGAAATATAGTGAAAATGAAGTAAAGATTATTCTCAATTACTATTACATATTCAAATGAACATAACGGTATGATTATTAATTGATTTCTAACACATGAAGCTGAAGTATTACGAGAATATTTTAGTATGTATTTGAAATGCATTTGAAAACAATAATTCACAATATAATTAGGACTAGGTAATATTAAACAATTTAGAAAATATAACGTAGATTCAAAATTACAATTAAGTAATCACTAACAAAAAAAGAAATCGTAGAATATTTTGATTACCATTTAATATAATACAACATTTATTTCCAACATAATTGAGCATTACCATTTTTTTTTTTGTTAGAGGGGGCAGACGAGCAGACGGGTCACCTGATGGAATGTGACCATCGCGCCCTTGAACGTCTGCAACTCAGGAGTCACAAACATGTACATTCATCAATATCTGAATTTTTATGTATTAATAAATAAAAATTTATATATAAACGTTTTGTTACTTGTTATATTAAGATTAGATCTTGTTTTTGTACATTGACAAACATTAAGTGCATAGATGCATTAAATATCTATTCGGAGGTCTCACCGTCCTGCCAGAACGAGTAACATACCAGTCAGATGCTGTACATGTATTATTAACATTAGTATGTTGACTTGGATACACAATATGATATATCGTATCGTAATCAAAGTCGTACTCTTGAGGGAGATTCTGTGCAGGTGATAGGTCCTTTATTTCCATTAAGCAGACGTATTCGTGGGACCTACTGCCTAAGTTACTCAATATAATGCGCCAAACCCAAAAAAAAACAGAGAATCATAGACCTTTTGATTAGTACTTAATGGAATTAAATTTCTAGAACCTTTGTCATAGCACATTTTTTTCACAACTGCATTTTTGTTGCGTACTTACGTGAGGTTTAGAATTAAATAATTTAACCGGCGTTGGAACCTCTGAAGCAGTTCTGCTGGTGAGGGTAAGATAACGATAAGAGCTAACTGGTGTATTTAAGCATTCTAAAAACCAAGTCGATAATCAGAACTATCTTCTAAAGATTTTTTTTAAATGTTTTTAACAGTCTGTACAGTGCGCTTTATTAGGCCATTTGATTGATGGTAGTACGGCGATAATGTCTCATGAGTAAAGTTGAATTAATGTGCAAATTGTCTGAACCCTGAGGCTGTAAACTTAGGACTGCAATCAGACATGACGGTATTCGGTATTCATTGATGGCTGAATATGTCTTTTAGACTATTAATCACACTGTAAGCCGTCGTACTACATAGTGTGATTAATAGTCTAAATTTAACTAATTCATAATTAAGATGTGTACTTACAGTGTGATTAATAGTCTAAATTTAACTAATTCAAAAAAATTAGGTACCATAATAATCGATTAATTATAGGTTATTCTCACTTTTGAATTGAAACAAATCTACTCCTACTTTGGATCATAACCTGTTTGGAACTTCATGGCTACTTAACTCTTCCTTCTGATTATTCTTTCTATGTGTTAAATATATACTGCAAGTTTGAATAATGTTTTCTATGTCATTATTTATACCAGACCAAAATATCAATTCTCTCGCTCTAAGCTTGCACTTTTATATGCCCATGTGACCTATATAAAAATATCTTTCTTCATACTTTTATGAAAAACAATCCTATCCGATTTCCAAATCATGTCATACAATACCGTTAAATCCTGCCTAAAATTCCAATATGGCTTAATTATATCTGCTAATTCTCAGCCAGCCTGAAGCCAGCCTTTCAAGATGCATTTTTTTAATTCTATCATATCTTCGTCTAACTCTAATTGCTTTTGAATATTTATGAACTAAGAATCCGTAAAATATGAACACTTAATCCTCCACACTTAACTATGTTATCAGAAACCTGTTTCTTGCTCTCACTCAGTGGTGATTCATGCGTCGGCTGTATATAAGTATTTACCTGGCTTTTAGATTAAAGTAAATGAATAACGCTGCAATCCCAATAACATTTGCTTCAATCGGGATTGAGCGTCATAAATTGTTTTTTTTAATACTACTAATCAATGGTTTATGATCCGTTTCTATTGTTACATCTGATCTTCCAAAAATATATGCATAAAATCGCTCACAAGCAAATACACAGGAGTACAATTATTTTTCAATCTGAGCATTTCTTTGCTCAGTTTCAGTTAACGCTTTCGAAGCGGAACACACCGGATGGCCATTTTGTAAGAGACACGCTCCAAGGCCTGTACTCCTCGAGTCTACTGATATTACAACAGGTACATTCATGTTATAGTACTGTAAAACTGGGTAAACATGATTTAAGGAAATCAAAACACTCATGCCTCTCATTCCAATGCCACTCAATCTCCTTTTTAAGCAACTCCTGCAGTGGTAAAGTTTCATCCGATAAATTTGGAATAAAAGAACCCACGTAAGTGATTAAGCCCAAGAAATGCTCCACATCTTTTTTATGTTTAAGTAACGGCATGTTTTTTATAGCAGATCAGGACTGAGGCCATCTTTAGTAATACGATTTCCCAAGTATTTGATTTCCTGTAAACCAAGCTTGCATTTCACATCACACATCACACCAACAGCCTTTCATAGTCCACTGCTGGACATAGATCTCTCCTTAGAAAGAAGGTTTTGGCCTTACTATACCACGTTTGCCAGACGGGTTGGCATAGGATTTGTGTCAAGTTTTCCTTCTCTAAGCAGTGTTTTATTTATTTATTTATACCTTTATTGTTTACAAATTAGCACATAAGACATTACAAATATATAGACTTAACAATCGGCGGTCTTATCGCTCACGGCGATCTCTTCCAGACAACCTTGATACGGATATTTGTTATTTAAAAGTTGAGTAGTTTACATACACATAACGCATATCACGTGAATATTTAAAATATAAACAAAAGCATCCATACACAATAAACACCTGTTCACACTACACATAGATAAATACATATACATACATACATACACACATACATAAACAAAATTTATAAATATACATATACATATTTATATATACATATATATACATATTCAATAGACATACACACAACATATATATATACTGTCCGAAATATATACCATATATAAAGAAACCAACAGTATTTATAATGTCAGATAAAAATCCTTCACTAGCTTTTTGAAAGCGGGCAAGGTTTTAGCTTGCCGGATTGTCAAAGGCAAGTTGTTCCAAAGTCTTACTGCTTGCACAGTAAAAGATTTGTCAGCAAACTGGGTGGAATGTTGCGGCATTTTTAGTTTTAAATTCTCCGATGACCTTAGGTCCCTGCAATGTGTGTTGTGTAAGAACTGAAAATGTTCTTTGAGATAAGAGGGTGTGCGAGGATGAAACAGAACACTGTATAAAAGAGAAAGAATATGAAGATTCCGGCGAAAGCGTATTGGTAGCCACTTGAGTTTAAAACGATACTCTGAGATGTGATCATATTTGCGTAATCCAAATATGAATCTAATACATAGGTTTTGGAGTCGCTCAAGTTTATTCAGTTGGTCTTCGGTGAGATCCAGATAGCTGACATCGCCATAGTCAAGGATAGGAAGAAGAAGAGATTGTGCGAGCGCAATTTTAGTATAGGTGGGAAGGAAGTTCCGTAGCCTTCGCAGAGATCCTGCCGCTGCAAATAGTTTTCGGCTAACTTCTCCAACCTGGGGGCCCCAGGATAGGTACCTATCCATGTGGATCCCCAAGTTTTTTACCTTTTCACTGTAAGGTACAACCGAGCCATTGCAACAAACAAATGGTATTTGCTGAAAGTTTATTTTAGCTTGTAGCCTGGGACTACCTACAATAATCACCTGTGTTTTTGTGGGGTTTACGCTTAGGCCATACTCCCTACTCCAGTTACATATTTGCATTAAGTCTCTATTTATGGCATCCACTGCTGTTGTTAAATTATCTGGAGTAGCTTGTGAGTAGATTTGGAGATCATCTGCGTAAAGATGGTAGGAAGACAGTAATTTATTTGTGATTGAGTTAATAAAAACTGCGAAAAGTAAAGGTGATAACACGCCGCCCTGAGGTACGCCCGCAGATGTTGTGAGCCAAGAAGAATAAACGTTTTCAGTACAAACACGCTGCTGGCGACCGTACAGGTAACTACGAAACCAGTCAATTGCCGATGGAGATATGTTAAGAGAGCACAATGTACCCAGCAAGACATCAAAATCCACAGTGTTGAAGGCGTTGCTGAAGTCGAGTAAAGCAAAGACCGTTAGCTTTCCTTCGTCCATGCCTGACCTAACATCGTCCGTAATATGGACTAGAGCTGTTGTAGTGCTATGACCTGGACGGAAACCTGACTGGAAAGGATTGAGGAGACAATTTCTTGAAAGAAATGAGGTTAACTGTGTGTGAATGAGACGCTCGAGGACTTTGGAAAGAAAAGGAAGGATAGATATGGGACGGTAATCTGAAAAGGAGGACGGATTACATTTCTTGGGGAGAGGAATAATTTGAGCCATTTTCCATGCAGAAGGAAAAACGTTGACGGATATGGAATAGTTGAGAATATGGCTAATTACAGGTAGGATCTCATCCAGGATAGGAAGAACCATTTTACGGCTGATACTGTCGCTTCCTACTGCAGTAGAAGTTATTGACATAACGCTCTTCCTTACATCACATGCAG